CGATGCCAATGGAAGCAGCAGTCAGGACATTAGACGATGTGTAGCACTGGGAAGGTCAACCGCAAAGGGACTGTTTCAAGTGCTGAGGAGCAAGGATGTCTCCTTGAGGACTAAGGTGCGCCTGGCACAAGCCATGATATTTCCAATTGCCTCGTATGCATGTGAGAGCTGGACAGTCAATAAGGAAGACCGAAGAAGAATTGATGCTTTTGAGTTGTGGTGCTGGTGAGGAATGCTAAAAGTACCATGGACTGCTAAAAGAACTAACAGATCTGTCCTGGAGGAATTGCACCCGAAATGCTTCTCGGAAGCGAGAATGGCCGACTTCGTCTCACCTACTTTGGTCATGTTGTCAGAAGGGACCATTCCCTGGAGAAGGATGTCATGTTTGGTAGGGTGGAGGGTCGACGAAAGAGGGGGGGAGGCCTTCAACGAGATGGATTGACGTGGTGGTTGTGATGATGGGCTCAAGTATAGCAGGGATCATGGAGCTGGCATGGGATCGGGCAGTGTTTCGTTCTGTTGTGCATGGGGTCGCTGTGAGTCGGAAATGACTCGACGGCACCTAACAACAGCAACACTGTGGGATATAGTACGGCAATTCCTTAAAAAGTTGGAATTAGAAATACCATTTGACTGAGCCATTCCATTACTAGGTATATAAGGAAGTGAGAGCCAGGACAAGAACAGATATATGCACATCCATGTTCATCGCAGCACTGTTTATAATAGCCAAAGGATGGACACAACGTAGGTGTCCATCAGCAGAAGAATGGATAACCAAACTTGGGTACATAAATTGTTAAAGAGCAAAATGTCACTTTGAGGACTAAAGTGTGCCTGACCCATGTTACAGTATTTTCAGTAATCTCATATGCACGTGAAAGCTGGACAATGAATAGGGAAAAGTGAAGAAGAATTGATGCATTTGAATTAAGGTGTTAGTGAAAGATTATACCATGGACTGCCAGGAGAATGAACAAATCTTTCTTGGAAGAATGCTTCTTGGAAGTGAGGATGGCAAGACTTTGTCTCTTATACTTTGGTCATATTATCAGGGGGGCCAGTCCCTGGAGAAGGACATCATGCTTGGTAAAATAGAGTGGTCAGTGAAAAAGAAGACCCTCAATGAGATGAACTTGAGTGGTGGCTGCAATGGTGGGCTCAAACATAGCAATGATTGTGAGGATGGCACAGGACTGGCATGTTTCGTTCCGTTGTACATAGGGTCGTTATGATTTGGAGCCAACTTGATGGCATCTAACAATGACAAATGGTACATGTAGAAACTTTATATTGCTGTGTTTTATTGTATATATTCTCAACAACAACAAAATAAGTAAAATAATACTAAAAATCAATGTCAGTGAGTAGGATACTCTGTGGCTTCACTTAGCTGTTGAAATTGAGAATTTTCTTTGCTATGGCAGCACATATTTATTTCTGTTACCAGATCAGTTTAGCAGCATGATCTGTATACCCTGACTTCTGAAGCTCTGTAAGGGTCCATGGTGTTCCAGATTTCTTCACAGCTCACTTTGGCGAGATATTTCCCATGTCCTCATTCAGGAGTCCTCTCTGTCCAGGTTGACATCACTGATACAAGGAGAGGGTTTTGCACAACTACTTAGTAAGCAGAGGTTCCAGATGTTGTGTACTTGTGGACAGAGGGATTCCAGTCTGTAGAAACACTCTCCTCTTGCCCCCTCTGCTCCCTGATGGGCATCCTCTCGATTGATGACTGTGGGTCATAAACTTGGTCATTCAAGTGACTAGGAGCATTCCCCAAGTCTGGTTACCAGGCATGGCTGGCTCCCTCTCAATGGCTGTTTTGTCTTTTGTGGACTTTTTTTTGCCCTCCAGAGGTACAAAAGGTGTTTCATGAACCATCTAGTGAAAAGCCAGTGAACACAGAATAATGTCAGGGTCTGCCTATGGCCCAGGCTCAAGGTTCTGACTCTGAAGGTTTCTAGTTGCTTCTCTCTGGCCTATTAGCCATGCCTCTGAAGTCCCCCCACAGGGTGGCACTTGTTTCTTCACCAGGGCTGCAACACCGATGGTAATGCCAGATGCCACAGGAGCTCCATCTAGGTACAAAAAACTTGTTTGGGTTACTTGACAAATAAACTAATCTTGCTGTTTCCTAAAGGGATCATAAAATAGGCATTTGGAAATGGCCTGGGCAGTGCCCTTGCCAGAAGAACATGTCACCCAATTCTGCAGGCAAGAGTTGGCATGTTCAGCATCCACTAGTCCTAGTGGTTATGTTGACTCTATACAACTTATTCGACAGAGGAAAAGCCAGTTCTAGAGATGAAGGTAGTGTTTGGCATTGCTGATACTGCTCCACTCCCCCTCTGCTCAGAGCTACAGACTTGCTCCACCGATTCCAGGGCTCATGGCTTCACTAGGGCTGTGAGGGTTTGGTTGGTTGGTTTTGGCTTGGCAGTATGAGAAGCAGCATTGCAAGTTAATTCAAGCAAAATGAAATTATGGTAAAGTTCTAATATTTTCTATCTGAGTCACCTTCTCACCAAAATCTCCTTGTGATTTTATAAAGGAAATTTGCTCACTCAAATGGCTTCATGCTTAATCCACAGGCAGGAACCTTTTCCACTGAGAAATAGGCAGCTCTGGGTCTCTGTCCTATTTTTCTTTGATATGTTCTAACTTTTCCAGGCCTGGTGGCAAAGACATACAGACATCCCTAAGCATAATGTTAGCATATGCTTTCTTTAAGCCTTATGAAAGGAAGCTATGTATTCTAGACGTTGTGGACAAAGATGGGACAGTTATTCATATCCTGGCAGTTGACCCTATGCTCCACCCCATGTTTGTTTGGTATGAAAATGCATAATTTTCATCACATAATTTGACAAAATAATTACTTTTCAAAGATAGTCTTCAGAAACACAGGAAGAACACTACTCATACCATTTACTTTTTTTGGCTCTGCCTTCTGGGCTTGCCGTCATCAGGGTCTGTGGCAGCAGGATAGGCTTAACCCAGGCTTCCCCTGTCCTGGGCAGTAAGACCCGAGTGAGGGTGACTTGTCTTAACCCCTCAGTGATATGTATGTTCTTCCTTCTTAGCTCCCAGGAGGCAAAAAGTCTGAAGGTGGAGCTGCACAGCCACTCAGATGTCCCTTTCCAGATGCTGGATGGCAACAGTGGTCTGAGTTCTGAGAAGATCAGCCACAACCCCTGGAGCCTACGCTGCCACAAGCAGCAGCTGAGTCGCATGCGGTCTGAGTCCAAGGACCGAAAGCTCTACAGTATCCTTGTTGTCCCCCCGCAGCATCGTTACACAAGTTTGTGTCGGGCTACTTCCGGGCCCATGGCAAAGGTCCCTCTCTGTCTAGGGGTTCCTCTTGTTATTTTTCTCTTCCTTCCTCATAGGCTCCTCTTCCTCTAGTTATGACCTTTCTTCTTCCTTTCATCAACATGGTTTTGTCTTTGTCTTTTGGGGCTGGTAACCTGAAGCTTAAAACTTGGCAGTCTAGACCAATGCTGTCCAGTGGAACTTTCTGTAATGATGGACCTATTCTATTTATTTGTGCTAGTCAATATGGTAGCCACCATCCACATGGAAATGTGACTACTGTGACTGAGGAACTTGAATTTTTTTTTAACTAAAAATTAAATAGTACCATGTGGCTACCATATTGATCTTGATTAGAATAAGGGTTCTGTATATGCACATAAGTATTTTTCCTTCCCAAAAGAGGATCAATGATTAAAAAAGAGTATCTTTGACTTTGGTGTCTTACTGTGTATTTTGTCTAAAGGTAGACACCATATACATACAATATAAAAACAGTTTTAAGATATTCAAGGTAAAGTTTTATGGAATGGGAATTTTTATGTCTTTTAGTGTTTTAATGCAGTAGATAATAACACTGAGCTGCTGACGTGATGTGTGCATATTTACTCAGTTAATTTTTACAATAATCTTAGGGGGGAATGATTATTATTCCCATTTTACAGATAAACAGATGGAAGCACAGAGAGGTCACATGTTGGTCCAGAGCCAGTGAATGGCTGAGGCAAGATTTAAGAGCCTATGTTCTCAAGGACTGGGAGATATTTCTGCAGCTGCTGTCAAGTTTTTTTGTCAGTTGTTTAAAGGTTACAGCATGCTATGAGATTAAAGATCCAATATAATTATTTATATATATATATAATTTAAGAGTTGTTGTTGTTGTTGTTGTAATGTTTGCCATCGAGTCGGACCCGACTCATAGTGACCCCTCCTTGGGTTCACCCCTCCTTGGGTTCACGGAAGAGGCAGTATCACTACGAAAGTAGATTGCCTAATCTTCCTTCTGAGGAGTGGCTGGTGGGTTTGAACTGCCAGCCTTCTGGTTAGCAGTCAGGTGCCTTAGACACTATGCTACCAGCGGTCCTATGCTACCAGCATTGTTGTTGTTATGTGCTGTCAAGTCGGACCTGACTCATAGTGACCCCTCCTTGGGTTTCGAGGTAGTATCACTACGGAAGTAGATTGCCCCATCTTCCTTCTGAGGAGTGGCTGGTGGGTTTGAATCGCCAGCCTTCTGTTTAGCTACCAGCATTAGGAAATGTTAAAGTGCCCTTTGTCAGAGTGATGCTGAGTGTCTGCCTTTAAGACTCCATGACTGCTTCAGAGCACCCAAACATGGAATTGCCCAGTCACAGTGACAGTTGGCAGACATGTGACAAGCCTATTCCTTTATTCAAAAGTACAAGTAAACATTAGATTGTTGTGGCCAGAGTAGATTAAGACATGAATGCAGATGCCAGGAGGCCAGACCCATAAAGTTGTTTTGAGCAGAAGTTTCTAGAAGTATTAAGGAATTGACTATAAATATATAGTCCACTGGTTTGAAATCTACTGGGATAATGGCAAGGTAGAAATGCAAATTCAGCCCTTTCTAAAAATTCTTATTGGGGAATGTTAGAATCTGATTTCCCCATTTTTGCAGTAGTGCTGCCAAGATATCTTCATTATTCCGTAGGCCTGGGTGAGATGCTGGCCTAAAGTAGGGTCTTGTTTATCAGTAGTAACAGGGTTGTGTCTGAATCTTGCAAGTCTTGTTTGTGTATTGCTTGCAAGACAGTTCTGAAGAATGACATAAAAATAACAAGTCAGTAATGTGAAAGCCACATTTGAGGGTTTGTGAAGGTAAATACAGATTACATTAGCTGAGAATGCTGCTTTGTATATAGACTGTCTTGGTTGTGCTTTACTGGCTGGGCTTATGGGGAGTCTGGTTGTCATGCTTCTTGACTGTGGCCCCAGAGTTCCTTCTGCTTGAGAATGTGGTGCACCACTTCAAGTACCCTTGTGTACTGGACCTGAAAATGGGCACCCGGCAGCATGGCGACGATGCATCCGCTGAGAAGGCAGCCCGGCAGATGAGGAAGTGTGAGCAGAGTACATCCGCTACGCTTGGTGTCAGGGTTTGTGGCATGCAGGTGAGAGCCTAGGTGCATGTGCCTGCCTGCCACGCATGCTGACTGTCCTCTTCCCACACTGCCCAGAGCCCCTCTGAAAGGGTGAGACCCCACAGGGTGCTGAGTATATCCTTACAGGTGCATTCCCTGAGCCCTCTTGTGTTTACCTGTTGACCTTGTTCCGGGCACCAGGCTCTAGGCTTCTCTGAGATCCCTCACTGTGACAGCCTGCTGCCTTGACGTTGGGGCAACTGGGACCCTTGTCTGTCAGCAAGATGCTCCTAGTTTGAGTCCAGCTGGGCCCCCAGGGCAGCTTTGAGGAAAGTTCCAAAGGTGTTGGCAGGTAACCTGTAATTCTGGTCTTGGCTTTCTCTTGGCTTTAGTGTGGGAAAACTCAGGGTGAACGTGGCCCGTCCCGCTCCACGGAGGAGTAGTAAAGCTCAGGTTGGTCAGAAGTGCTTTCCAAACAGTGCTCACCCAGCACACCTTGAGGCTGTTAGATCTCCTGGCACTCACCCTGTTTGTTTCCTGGGGTTTCAGGTGTACCAGCTGGACACAGGGCATTACCTTTGCAGAAACAAATACTATGGCCGTGGGCTCTCCATCGAAGGCTTCCGCAACGCCCTCTACCAGTACCTCCACAACGGTCTGGACCTACGGCGTGACCTGTTTGAGCCCATCTTGAGCAAACTGCGGGGCTTGAAAGCTGTGCTGGAGCGGCAGGCCTCCTATCGATTCTACTCCAGCTCCCTGCTGGTCATCTATGACGGCAAGGAGTGCCGGGCTGAGCCCTACCTGGACCGCTGGCCCGAGATGCGTCTCAAGCACCTGGACACGGGGCTCCCAGAGGTGGCATTACCTTGTGGTTCCAGCACCAGCCCCAGCAGCACCAGCCCCGAGGCAGGCCCCTCCTCTCCACCCAAGGTGGATGTCCGCATGATTGACTTTGCACACAGCACGTTCAAGGGTTTCCGGGATGACCCCACTGTGCATGACGGGCCGGACCGAGGCTACGTATTTGGCCTGGAAAATCTCATCAGCATCATGGAACAGATGCGGGACGAGAACCAGTAGGCCCAGCTCTGGGTCCCCAGAACCCCTTCCTCTTCACCCACAGGCAGGGACCACTGCTCTGAACTTGCCATGAGGACACACAGACTTTGCTTTTAAAGGGTTATATTTCTCTTTGGTGTAAACTAAAAGAAATGTTTTTAGCTGTAGCCTGGAATCCATATATATATATATATACAGTCAAAAGAGGGCAGAACACACATCCTCTCAGCCAGGCTCTTTAGCTCTACGGCTCTTGACTACTGTGTCCAGGCTAATGTAGGAAGGGAGAAGTGCCCCTGGTGGGCTTGTCAGCAGGGACAGGGCACCCTTGGACACAGGTTTCTTTTGCCTAGGTCTTTGGCTACAGAGCCCTGAGGATTACAGGGTGAAGCCCTGGGCTTGGTGTAGGGCCCCTCCATGCCCACTCGTCACTTGTTCCCAGAAGTAGAGGGGATTGGGTGTCTGTCTCTTGAGGGCTTTCTTGTGTTGTGCTCTGGGTCTTTAACAGATGTCCCCAGGGTGCCACAGGTCTGACTGCACACAGTTGGACCCTGCTTCTCAGTTCTGACCTTGGCATGGGGTCCAGATTTCATGAAACTAGGCTAAGGCCAGCTCATGCAGAGGATGGGCCTCTGGGTTCCCTGGGCACCCCTTGGCACTTGAACCTATTCCTCCTCCTGTCATTCCCCAGCCAGCCTTTCTCACCAAGATCCCTGCCCTTGGAGGCTACCCCCTCCTGGCCTCCCTGAAGGAGGCTCAGCTCTATTTGCTGAGGAAAAGCAATATCCCAGCAGGTCTTAGGGTCTTTATTGGCTCTGGCCCAGACAGTGTGTGCAACTCTTGTGCTATGGGTGGGAGTTGTCTTCTAACCAGGGCAGCTGTGCTGCCTCTGGACAGGCTTTTTCTCCCAGGGATCAAGGGCTGCAGTCCGCTCAGGGTGTCATATTTTCCCAGGCTGAGCTCAAGGCCCGTGTGAGAAGGTTCAGGCTGTGGACCTGGAAGGAGAACTTCTAGTTTGTCTGCTCATTATTTTGGGCCCTGGATGGAGGCGTCCAGATTCTGCTAATGAAAACTTTGTCTCATCAGACATGGGGTCCAGCAGTTTGTCCATCTGCCAGCCTCTGTCTTTCAGGGTCCCTCCTGTGAGGTGTAGCCTTGCTCATTAGTAGATATGGCTTTTCTCAGCAAAATCCCTTTTTTTTAATTATTATTATTATTTTTATTTTTTGAGGTAAGCTTTTGCCCCCATGACCTTCCTCAGCAGGTGCTTACCTTTTTACAAAGAACTGGTGGCGGAGTGGTAAGAGGCATTTCCCTATTGGCTCAGCACTCTGTGGGCCTGTGTGGCCCACTCAACACTGACAGTGGTGCAGTGAAGGCCCAAGGGGTGGCCCCTTCCCTTGTGGTTTTAGTTATTTATGCTGCCAAACTTCAATGGCAGAGACCTGCTGGCTGTAAAGCACAGGGCCAAAAGGTGATGCTGCATCTACCTAGCCATTGCCAAGCCATCCAGGGCATCCTCACTTCTGAGCCTAGGGTCACTGTAAATGTTGATTTGGGCATGTTCCCGTTTTGCCAGCCTGTGTCTGTTGAGAGGACTTGTTAACAATGGGCTAATTTTTTTCCCAGCCCTTAGAGATGGAATCTCAATTCTTAAATGGGCTCCTTGATTGATAGATCCCTGCATCTCTTTGCCGTCTGATGCTGTGCTGATGATGGGCAGGTTCCCATTCCTTGAGGCTGGGAGGGGAAGCTTGCCTATTTCTGGTCAGTAATGACCACTTTCTTTCTTGTACCATTCTGTAGATTCGGTCATGGAGGCCGTAACTGGTAGTGTAGACAGTCATTTCCTTGTAGGACAAGACAAAAGGGCCTGGGGTCACTTTGGATTCCCTTGATTGGACCTGTCCACCCTGGCTGTGTGCTGGGACCTTCTGAAGTCCTAGATTCAGGGAGCGTTTGCAGCCCTTTGCTGCTGTTCCTTATAGTAAGAGAGGCTGCATCCACTTATATTCAGTGTTTTCCTGGCACTAAAAAGAGCAAAAGGGCCTGGGATTTGCTGCTGTTCCCTTAGGGCAGGGCTCCTCTTTTCAGCACTTTCCACACCTGGAGACTTAGCTGTGTTGTTTGGGGTGGGGTGGGGGTGGTGGGCATGTGTGGGCGCACATGCTTTGTCACTGCTCATTCTCCCCTTGCTTCAGGCCAGAGAGCCCTGTTCCTGTCAGGATCTGCCTTCCCAGCCCCAACACTTGGGACCAAAGTGCAACACGGGATCACGGGTTGGGGCACTCAGGTGACCCCTCTCTACTGTGCTTCCCAGGGCCAAGCTGACACCAGCCCCTGGGGTGGGTGGGGGCGGTGCTTAAAGAGGAAGGGGACCAGTGTAGCAACTTGTCAAGAACCCCCACTCCTCCCTCTCAGGGCTTGTGCAATGGGTTGTGGGGATTTCCTCAAGGGGCCAGGGATCTGGGCTAGATTGATTCTTAGCCACTGCGCACGTGCTCACGCTGGCCACATGCACGTTCTCCGGAAGCAGATTGCTTTGAACTTATGTACAATTTGGTTTTGTGATGATTTGAGAAATGTGTTAATGAGGAAAAAGGGAGAACCCTGGGAAGGACTTGCCTGGTTCTTTTGCTTATCCGGGAACAGTAAGGTCTAACCTTCTGGGAATTGCTCTCTGCTCCTCTTTCCTGGAAGCTAACCAAGCCGTCCACGTCCACACCGCTGAGGCCTGCGCCCCATGCTACACGTGGCTCTGGCCACGACTCCCCTGCGTTTTCTCGGGACCTTGGGTGTGAAGAGTGGGAGGCTTGGGCTGAGCTCTCCCTTTTCTGTGCACCTATCTGCCAGCCCCGCTTGTGTCTGAGGTCGTGTATATCAAAATAAAACCGCTAGAAATTGAGGCGAGTTCTCATCTTTTTGTAAACCAGGGGGCTTCACAGTGACCCGGGTCAGCAGACCACCCGGGATCAGGTGCCTCTTTTCTCTGGAGTGGATGGGGCGGGGCCTGGGGGTATGGGCGGGGCCTGGGGTGTGGGCGGGCCCGGGAGTGGGCGTTCCCACGGCGGAGGCCGGTGGGCAGAGAATGAAGTCTCGCCCTTGGTGCCAGTTGCGCCTTCGGATCCGCCAATGGGCAGCTGACCCGCAAGTCCTGTCCGGTCCCCATGGCAGCCCTGCGCGCTTGGGTCCTCATTGGCTACGTCTGCCGAAGCGCCGCGTTCGAGCGTTCCGTCGCTAACGGCCGTGCCACGTACACGGCAGCCGATTGGTCTGCTGGGTCACGTCACTGGCCGCGCCGGGTCCGGCCTGAGTTTGGTACCAGCAGAGGTCTGCCCGGCGTCGCGTTCTGGCTTTTGGGGCCCCAGGATCCCGTTTTGGGCAGACGGGGCAGACGAGGTGGAGGCAGAGCCGGTCATATTGGCAGGTGAAGGGCGCGGGGCGGGGCACGGCGGCGGGAGTGCGCGGCAGGGGGCGGCCAGGAGGCCTCCGGCACGTCCAAACCCGGAACTCGCTGTCGGGCTGCCTACAGGAGTGATGAAGGCACTGATCTTGGTGGGAGGCTATGGAACGCGGCTTCGGCCACTGACGTTAAGCATCCCGAAGCCACTGGTAGACTTCTGCAACAAGCCCATCTTGCTGCACCAAGTGGAGGCTCTGGCTGCGGTAAGGCCCGAAGTCGGGGTCGGACTTGGCGGGGCGAAGGAAGGCTAGTGACTGAAGGGCAGGGTTTCCGTGCCTTTCCGTTAAAGCAGCCTGTTGGTCCTCGCTGATCTGTCCGGCAGGCAGGCGTGGACCACGTGATTCTGGCTGTGAGCTATATGTCTCAGGTATTAGAGAAGGAAATGAAGGCGCAAGAAGAGAAGGTGAGGCGCAGACTCGGTCTTTTCCCTTGCTCCCCGCACACCTCCCACCCCTGGGTGGGAGGAACCAGACAGTGTGGCTTCTCCCTTCCAGCTAGGAATCCGCATCTCCATGTCCCATGAAGAGGAACCTTTGGGGACAGGTCAGTAGAGACAAGAAGGTCCTTTGGGGAGGATGTAAGGCCAGGAAAACAAGAAGATCCATCCTAGGTGGGGCCTGTTGAGCCTGGCTCCAGGGGCTCAGACCTGCATGGGGGTGATCTGTTCTTCTCTCCTAGCTGGGCCCCTGGCACTGGCCCGTGACTTGCTGTCTGAGACTGAAGATCCCTTCTTTGTCCTCAACAGTGATGTGATATGTGATTTCCCCTTCCAAGCCATGGTGCAGTTCCACCGGCACCATGGTCAGGAGGGCTCCATTGTGGTAAGTCTTCCTCCTCAGATATCCTCACCCCCATGTGCTCTTCCACCTCTAGTCTTGAACCATCACCTCATGTGGTGGGAGCAGAGTTGTGTAGTATGTGTCCTTAAGCATTTGGATTTGGGATAGCATGAGTATCAAGACCGAGGAGCACTGGACTAGGCCTCAGGTCCTCCTGCACTCAGGTGACCAAGGTGGAGGAACCCTCCAAGTATGGTGTGGTGGTATGTGAGGCTGACACCGGCCGAATTCACCGGTTCGTGGAGAAGCCACAGGTGTTTGTGTCCAACAAGATCAACGCAGGCATGTACATTCTGAGCCCTGCAGTGCTGCAGCGCATCCAGGTGTGTGGGAGCCAGCTGTTGGGTGGCTTGGGGTGGGGCAGGCCACCACTGCCATGACCATGCTTGTTCACAAGATGCCACTCTCATAGCTGCAGCCCACATCCATTGAGAAGGAGATCTTCCCCGTCATGGCCAAAGAGGGGCAGCTCTATGCCATGGAATTGCAGGGTGAGGAAGGGAGGCCACAGGGCAGGGGTGGTGGGTGGTCTGTGGCTGGGCTGAGCCCCCTGATGCATCCTTTCTTACAGGCTTTTGGATGGACATTGGGCAGCCCAAGGATTTCCTCACTGGCATGTGCCTGTTTCTGCAGTCGCTTCGACAGAAGCAGCCTGAGCGGCTTTGCTCAGGACCTGGCATTGTGGGCAATGTGCTGGTGGTGAGACCCTTGTTCCACTCAGCCCATCGTTAACCCCCCTGAGCCTCAGATGATAAAGTGGCTCACTTGTATGTATCTTCCTCACTGCCCTCAGGACCCGAGTGCTCACATTGGACAGAACTGCAGTATTGGTCCCAACGTAAGTCTGGGCCCTGGTGTGGTGGTGGAGGATGGCGTATGTATCCGGCGGTGCACGGTGCTGCGGGATGCCCACATCCGCTCCCACTCCTGGCTTGAGTCCTGCATTGTGGGCTGGCGCTGCCGTGTGGGCCAGTGGGTAAGTTGATAGGCTGGGCCAGGTGAGGAGAGGGGCGGGGGATGCATTCGCCTCCCTGACAGCCCACTCATCTCCCTCAAGGTGCGCATGGAGAACGTGACAGTGCTGGGCGAGGATGTCATAGTTAATGATGAGCTCTACCTCAATGGGGCCAGCGTGCTGCCCCACAAGTCTATTGGCGAGTCAGTGCCGGAGCCTCGCATCATCATGTGAGGGTGCACGTGAGGCTGGTGGAGTCCCTATTTCCCCATCAGCAAGGGAATACTGGCTTCACACATCAGAAGTCCCTGGACTCATTGCCATTTGTTTGGGGAAGATTGGATGAGGCTGATGTTGTACACCTGCCTTCTAGTGGGTGTATCTGGCAGGATCCCTGCTGGATGAACCGCACGAGCCCCTCTCCTCAAGAAGCCTGGGGCCAGGGCTATATGGAATAATAATTTAATACTCACTGTGGCCTTGACTGAAAGTCAAGCTCAGGCACAATTAGGGCCATGGCTGGGCTCCCACAAATGAGGCTACACATAGGCAAGTGGGGGTTGGATGCTCCTGGGGAATAGGGCAAGGGGAGCTCATAAATAGGGCCCAGCCTGGGCTGGATCTGAGGGTGCAGGATCCAGGATGGTGCAGGCTGTATGGGCTAGACAGGGCTAGGCGGCTGAGGAGGTGGTACTCGCATTGGTTGATTTCTCCCAGTCCTCCACAGACACGATGGTGGCTTTGCAGAAGAAGCAGTCCTTATTGTTCATTAGGTGCTGGTCGATGCAGGCTCTACCACAGGAAAAAAGATGAGGGCTGCTCTGTGTACCTGCTACTCCCTGTCCCCCCACCCCCCCAATCCCTCTTCCAGTGCACAGGGCCCCCTTACTTGCAGGACTTGTGTCCGCAGGGCTGGAACACAGCAGAGATGGGGTGGGCATAGCAGATAGGGCAGAGGTCTTCCTCACTGGTAGGCTGCAGGGAGGAGAGTGGGCTGGGTTTGGATCCCCAGACTGACATGGACACAAACTATCTCATGCCATTATGTACATTCAAGTGGCATGAACATGTTGCTGTGACCACACTCACCAGAGTGGCAGCTGCTGCCTGTGCAGATGCAGAGGTCAGGTGCGCCAACATCTGTTCCACCTGGGCCAGCTCTTGGGCACTGATATAATCTGTGTCTGGGGGGATGGGAGGGGATGTCAGGCCAAATGTGGCCTTAGAACTTTGTGCCTCTTGAGTATCCCCAGCCTAGAAATTTGCTCTCCTTGAGAATCTTGGCCTGACTCAGCCCCAAATACCACTTCATTGCCACCCCTACCTCCCCTCCAGTTCTGCACAGAAGGAGGTACTTCCCTCCACTCACAGCTCTGCAGGGAGAAGCGCTTCCGGTCAGGGGCAGGCAGGGCAGTGCCAGGTGCTGGGGGCTCTAACTGCCCCAGGAGATAGCATATGGAGCGGAGCTGGAAGCAGGGATCAGCCAGGAGCACGGAAGTGGCTCTCTCTGACCTGGGGGAGGGTTCAAAGGTGATGTCAGGGGGCTCAGGTTCTGTGGGAAAGCAATTACCCCTTCATCCCACTCTATCACCCTGTTTTTTTTTTTTTTTTTAAAAAAACCAGCCTAGTAAGTCCTGGATCCCAGGAAGAATTCATGTTGTCCAGGTGTCAGTTTAGGGGGCTCAGGGGGAGCTACCTTAAAAGTCCACCAGCCTTGTGACACACAGTAACCCTTAAAAATCACTCCAATAAACACAAACTAAGAATTAATAGCAGCGGCTTAAAGATAATGCTTCCCAGACTCCTTCCACCAGCCTATGTCCTGGCAGACTGACATTTTAGGGAGATAAGCGCTGCGAAAAGCCGCTAGCCAAACGCTTGTTGGGGACGTTAGGACCAGGCTCGTGCCCCACCTGGCGGCCACGCGGAGACTTCAGCTGCGCCTGCCCCGCCCCTCCTGACAGGAACCCAATGAGGGCTTGTGGTCCCGCCCCTTGAGCCACCGCCTCCCGGGCGAGTATTTAGCCGAGTGACCAGGGAAGTGCTGGGGAGAGCCAGGGGAACGCAGGAAAGCAGTGCTAAGCGAAGCGCGGCTCCACACCGCCGCCTGGGAACAAGAGCGGGAGCAGCCACCCGTGGGGGGCAAAGCCGCGTCCCGGCTCCTCGGCCATGACCCATTCTGCGTCGCGCACGTCGAGCCTGAGCAGAGGTGGGTGAGTGAGGCAGCTGTAGCCTGCACAGGAGCTGCCCTGACCCCATCTCTGGTTGACATCGCCATGGCGTGGCTGGTGCTGCTGGGCACACTGCTGTGCATGCTGCGCGTCGGTTTAGGCACCCCCAAGAGTTTACCACCCCCCGCACCCCACAACTGCCCCGACAAATGCGTCTGTGCTGCCGACCTGCTGAGCTGTGCAGGCCTTGGGCTGCAGGATGTACCGGCTGCGTTACCCGCCACTGCTGCAGACCTCGACCTCAGCCACAACGCTCTCCAGCGCCTGCGCCCGGGCTGGTTGGCGCCCCTCTCCCAGTTGCGTGCTCTGCGCCTAGGCCACAACGAGCTCGGCACACTGGGTCGTGGTGTCTTTACTAATGCCAGCGGCCTGCAGCTGCTTGACCTATCGTCTAATGCTTTGCGCACACTTGGCCGCCACGACCTGGATGGGCTAGGGGCATTGGAGATGCTGCTTCTGTTCAATAACCGCCTGGCCCACTTGGACGAACATGCCTTTCATGGCCTGGGTGCTCTCAGCCGACTCTACCTGGGTTGCAACGAACTCACCTCCTTCTCTTTCCACCACTTGCATGGTCTTGGTGCCACCCACCTACATGTTCTGGACCTCTCTTCCAACCAGCTGGGGCAAATCCCAGTGCCTGAGCTGGCTGCACTGCCAGCCTTTCTCAAGAACGGCCTCTACTTGCACAACAACCCCTTGCCTTGTGACTGCCACCTGTACCACCTGCTGTGGCGCTGGCACCAGCGGGGTCTCAGTGCTGTGCGTGACTTTGCACATGAGTACATGTGCCTGGCCTTCAAGGTACGCTCGTCCCGCGTGCGCTTCTTTGACCACAGCCGTGTCTTTGAGAACTGCTCAGCTGCCACTGCTCATGACTTAGAGCAGCCCGAAGAACAGCTGCACGTGCAAGTGGGCCGGTCCCTCCGGCTGCACTGCAACACCAGTGCTCCTGCCATACGCATTGCCTGGGTCTCCCCACAGCATGAGCTGCTCCTGGCACCAGGATCTCAAGATGGTAGCATCAAGGTGCTGACTGATGGCAGTTTGGCTATCGGCAGTGTGCAGCCACGACACCAGGGTATCTTTGTGTGCCTGGCCACTGGGCCCCGCCTGCACAACCAGACGCATGAATACAACGTGAGTGTGCACCATCCACGCCCTGAGCCTGAGGCCTTCAACACGAGCTATACCACGCTGCTGGGCTGTGCTGTGGGCCTAGTGCTGGTACTGCTCTACCTGTTCATGCCACCCTGCCATGGCTGCTGCCGCTGCTGTCACCAAATCTGCCACTGCCGCCGCTGGCCACGAGCACCCAGTCCTCTCCAGGAACTGAGCGCACAGTCCTCGGTGCTCAGCACCACATCACCAGACGCACCCAGCCGCAAGGCCAGCACCCACAAGCACGTGGTCTTTCTGGAGCCAGGCAGGAGGGGCCTCAATGGCCGGGTGCAGCTGGCTGTAGCTGAGGACTTTGACCTCTGCAACCCTGGGGGCCTACAGTTCAAGGTCAGCTCAGAGTCTGCTAGCTCTACAGGCTCTGAGGGTCCTGTGATGACCTAGGCTGCCCAGAGTCCCACCCAGGCCACCACCCTGCCTGCTATTTGCCCTGCTCCCTGCTGTAGTCCAGATAATTGGCAGGTGCTGATGGGAAGCCCTGAGCCTGGTCTCACAATTTACTAGGGTGGTTACTCAACAGAGGGGTTGAGGGCCCTAGGCTGTCTCCTGCTCCGCCCCAACAAAGGACCTACATGCCCCAAGTCCTAGCAGGGCCTATTTGTGCCCACTTGCCCTGGGAGCTCCTGGTCCCCAACTGCCCCATGAGGATTGGAGACAGAGGCCCTCTAGAAGAGCATTTCTATTAGAGCCCCAGCAGCTGTCAAGGTGGGGTGCTGAAGAGCTGAAGCAACTTTCCCTCCCAAGGGCCGGGAGGGAGTGGGCCCCAGGGAAACAGGAGTTGGCTCAGAAAGAAGCTGTAACACTCACACCCAGAGCAAAAGGAGAAAAGGAACTTTCCCTTCTGTGAAATAGGACTCCCTGTCCACCAACATCCAACCTACTTAAAGCTTCACAACCCGATGCAGAGTCTGGTGGGCAGACATTAGGCAGACACAGCTCCTGAAGAGACCATGGGGGCCTGGCCTGAGTCAGAAACACTGGCTGACCCTGCACTCTAGCCAGAGGGATCTGGATGCTGCACAAGCAAAGCCCATCCTGTGGCTGCAACTCACAAGGCAGCGCTGAGGGGGCACCATGGCCTGTTCCCCCAGGTCTTTAGCAGCAGAAAGCCTGCTGAATATGGCTAAACTGGGAGGGGAACGCACTGAGCTGGAACTCGCTCTCCCTTGAGGGCTGGAGCCTCTTTAGGGCTGGCACTGGTCTCAGCCTAATGGCTGAGGCGGAGCCCTGGCTTCACATGCATTTCACCACCCCCACTTCAGGGAGGCAAGAAAGGGGGTCTGGGAACCTCTTGCGTGTGGGGCCTGAGCTAGGCCCCTGTGGGGGTCCTGTGCCCAGCTGTCATGGAGTTTCTTAATAAAGGTAGGACGTGACTGTGCCTGGAGGCTTTGCAGATACAGATACCTCTGTGTGTGTGTGTGTGTGTGTGTGTATGTGTTCAGCTTTCAACCCTAATAGTGCCACCAGGCCTTACCATTTCAGGGTGACCCCATGAAAGTCCTGGCTCCCCTGCCTCTGCCTGAGGCATGGCCACAGCCAGTGATTCTGACCACTGGCCAGGACACCTTGTTCTGCTGGGGTCCCGGATTCTCCTACCCAGAGCTGCTACTGCCACGTCTTCAGGCAGTTCACACTTCACCACCTCTCTTCTGCCTCAAAAATTTGGTACTGATGTCCATTTTATAGATAAGGAAACTGAGATGCCCTACTCAGCCTCCTTTCCATCAAACACACCTGGCTCTCAAGGGGCCCACTGTCCCCAACACTCACCATGAAGCTGGGCCATGCACCAGTAACTGTACCAGGATGCCCGTCACTGCTACCAGGATGGGGTAGTGGTCCACGCTCTCCAGGCCTAAGGGGAAAGGAAGGAAGGAAGGAAGGAAGGGGTGAGCCACATACTCACACACCTCACAGGGCCTCCAGACCCAGGTGACACCATCTACTTCCTGATTGTCCCCTCATAGAAGGGTGAGTGGAGGCTGGGGCATGGACCTGGCTGTGCCGACACAGCCTGGAGGATCAGACATCACTGCTCCTCCCAGAGGAACTGAGGCCCAGGGGATGTTGTGGTACAGGGTGTCTGAGTCCTCACCAGGCAGCCGCAGGGTGACCACTCGGTCAAACAGGTTCCTCTCAGCTGTTACCCGGTTCAGCACCTGATTCAGCAGCTGTGAGCACAGGAGCCTGCTGGTAGATGGGTGGTCTTGCCACTGGGGCATCCCCAGGCTCCCACCCTGCTTGCCCAGATGGACACACCTGCGCGAGACGCCGCAGCAGCATCTCAGAGGTAGGCCGGGACCAGTCAAGGAATATCTCAGGCACCAGGGTGATGGTCATCTCCAAGACGCGCAGCAGACTGACCGAGAGGTCAAAGCAGGTGGCACATACCTTGAGTTGCCGGCTGTCTACGAAGTTGCGCTCCAGGCGTTCAGCTGCCTGCTGGATCTGAGCCACAGCAGGGGGCCAGTCAGTGGTCAGCCAGGGGGGCTGGCTACCTCAGAAGACCACGGCTTGTCCCAACATCACCCTAGCCCCCAAGGCCCCATCATAGCTCACCTCCTGGATCATGCCGATGAACTCTGAGAAGGCCCAGTTGAGCTGGTTGAGGACACTGTTGAGGAAGCTGGGTGCCACGTCAGAACCCTGCCGTAGCAGGTCTGCCATGTGCTGCTGCAACAGGGTGGAGGGGCAGGGCTCTGCTGGGGCCCAGGGAAGTGGCGTCATCAGGGATGCCATTGAAATGACCCTTGCCTATCTGCCTCTGTCCTCACAATTGGGCTGCTGGTGTAAGGACAGAAAGACTGCCCCCTAGGACCACATAGTTCATGAGAGCAGGGAGACAGGATGCTGAACTGCCTGGGGTCAGGGCTGCATCTGCCTGCTTCCTCTGTGGGGCAAGCCACAGCTGCAGTTGTTTCTGTCTCCACCCTACACTACTCCCCTAACCCTGGAGGCCCCTTGGCCTGGAACAGCCATACAACCTGAGCATAACCCTTCATATGGGGTTAGACTTAGAAAGGGCCTAACTGCTCCCCATATGTATCAAGGCCAGCTTCATTAAGGGTCTGCTCTGAGCCAGAGCCCTGCCATAAGTCCTGCTGTTCTCGCCTGTCCTCTATTGCCCTTGGCCTGGCCTTGGCATATGAAAAAGGGTGGGCGCCAAGTCGGGCTGGCAGGCAGCAGTAACCAGAGCCCTCAGCCGAGGCCAGGACCAGCATGTCTCCCCTGCCCCTCCCAATGCAAATCAATAGTCCCTGCAGCAGCAGGATGCAGACCTGGCCCCACTGCCACCTCTCCATTTATAGTTCAGTTCCGCCCAGGGCAAGGCCAAGGCATCTGGCAAGGACTTGCTGTGTGACTTTGCACAAGGTACCTGGCTGCTCTGAGAACACCCCGTACACCAAACTACAGCCCACAAAGGCAGAAATATACCACATGGGGCAAGGACAGCCACCATGTGCACTGAGAACAGCATGTGGCAGGTAGATCCTGTGAGCTAGACAGCCCAAGACCCCTGGACGGGCCTAGGTGAAGGTCCTCAGGCTCCCAAAGCTTGGCTGGATCCCCGGATTAAGAGCACAGTTGGTTCCTGATCAAATGGGCCCACTTCCAGCAAGCCCCATGGTTACTACCTAGGGCCCTGACTGACCCTGTCTGTGCGCCCCCGACTCAGGACTGGACATGGTGCTGGGGTGAGGCTGGAGGCCTGGGAGGGAGGTGGCTCAGTGAGTGAGGGATAGGATCTTCACCATGTGTGAGCCTGGGAAGATGCTAGCCCTTGTCACTGTGACTCACGCAGAATGCTTGTACCCAAAGGCACACACAGCATGGTGTTTTGTCCCTCACACCACCCTGGCCCATAAGGGGGTATAGTCCTAGAGTGTTGGGGAGTTTGGGGCCCCTCTGGAGAAGTGGACAAGTCTGAGAGAAGCCCAGCACGGTAGGCGAGTAGCTGCCTGACTGGATACTCACTCTGGAGGCTGGGCAGATTAGCATCTTCAGGTTTGGTTTTCAGGAGGTGTGGCAGTCGTGTATAGCGGTACCCGAACCCACAGCCCTGGGGGTGGGGTCAGTAGGTGGTCAGTGGGACAGGGCAACCTCTCCCTCCAGTTAGCTTTAGCCACCACCCCTCTGGTTAGGCTTACCCTCCAGAGCCGCACCAAGATCCAGTTGGTCTGGGCCCAGGGCCGTTGCTCATAGGGCGCCAAGAGGTTCTTCACCATGGCAATGCGCCTGCAAAGGCAAAAGGTGGTGGGTACAGGGTGAGGCTGGGTGTGATGGTGTTCAGGGCAGGTGTATGAACCCCTATACCTCATCTCTACTCACTGCTCCTCAGGGATCCGCTCCACAGCCTGCAGGGAGTGTGGGTAGCACACGTAGCTGGCCAGAGCTTGCATCAATGAGTCACGGATATCTGCTGGGAGAGGTCATGCCTCACAGGTGCCCAGCATAGGCCCCGGCCCCATGCTTCATGCCCACCTGACCAGCATTCTGCACTAAAAACAGCCAGCCAGAGGTGCTATCTTGCCCAATCCTCCCAGCCCACTGTGGGGTGCCTCACCAGTGCCTATGATGCGTGTGTCAGCAAAATGTTTGGCAAGGATAGCGGCCAGGCGGGTCAGGGTCTCTTCATAGCCTGTAGGGTAGGGTAGTGGGAGCTGTTGGTCAGAGGCAGGGATCCAAAGACAGGCCTGTCCATTGGCAGGGTGGGTGGGCTTGAGTAGCAGGTTCCAAGGGCCAGACTGGGCCTGGACCAGGGTCTGGGGTCATTGGGCATGGCACATGGCATTCACCAGCAGGTGATGAAGGACTATGGCACAAATTCACTGTTGGGGAGGGCAGGTCCTAGCAAGAGTCCTAACCTGGACTCAAGCCCATCTACTCAAAGCCCCTCGATCTCCCACAACTCTGCCTCTGAGGACAAAGCCCGAACCTAGGCCTGGTGTGTGGCAGGGGGTCAGGCCAGGGGCCGGACAGCCCACACCACGCTGTAGACATAAACTGCCAAGTCCCGCCTAGAATCAGTGATGTTCAAGAAGCCTGCTGTGAGTGACAGGGATAAAAGACTCTCCCCCGTAAGAGTGGCCATAGACCATGGCCAGTGCCAGGGTAGGAGGGTCAGGGGTCAGCTACCTCCTGGACCACAGCAGTTGTTAGCAGCCCCAGGAAGGGAGTAAAACTAGAGGGGGCTCCCACCCTCTGTAGCCTCTTGTCTGCTTCTCTCTTGGCACCAGCAGGAACCTCTCATTCTGTGGCTGCTGGTCCCAGAGCAGGACTTTCCATGTGGGGCTTTTGGAAATGTTTGTCTGATACAGGCTGGGTAGAGTAGGAGCTGCCCTCCTCCTCCCCATGCGGACAGGTGCTGCTGGGCCATGGATGGCTCAGACCAGGGTTCCAAGACTTCAAGCCAAAGGTCGCTTTTCTGTGCCCGCCCCCAGCCTGATGGCCCCTTCACCTGGAAGCTCCTCCATGCTGTGCACAGGGCCAAAGTAATTCTTGAGGGCACTATAGCTGTTAATGGCCACACTCAGGTAGAACTCAGGCATGAAGGCAAAGAGAGAGCCTGTGCGGTCGCCATGCTCGATGGTCCGCAGGCAGATGCGCAGCAGCCAGTAGATGTCTAACATCTTCTCCTGCACGGACACACATGGAGGGTCACAGGGAGCAGGACCTGGTCTGAGGGTCAGGAAAGGTCTCCTCACAAATATGACATTGGAGCTCAGACCTGGATCCAGGAAGTTGGAGCAGTGATTCAGGAAGGGGAGGGGAATACTGAGCAGCACAAAGGCCTGTGTGGCTGGGTCTGGAGAGGACCTACCTGAGCCCTGGTTTGCATTCTGTAAGGGCACAGAAGTTTTTAGGCAAAGGGGTGACATGCCCAGAAGAGTGTGTTTGAACACTGCCAAGGGCACAGAGGCTGTAGGGGTAAGTGGAACAGGACAGCAAGGAAGCCCTGCCTTCTCTGGGCTGCACTGATGCACATGACAAGAATGGGGCCCACATTTCGGGGGTGGGGTGGGGGATGGAGCCTCCATGGAGGTCACAGGTACTGAAGAAGCAGGCCTACTGCCAGGCAGAGGTGGAGAGTGGCTTGGGACATACGGAGCACGAAGTGTCTGGAGATGCTCCCGAAAACGCGTTGAGAAGGCAGATAGAAATCTGCAGTTCAAAGAAGGTGGGTGGGGAAATGAGTGCTGGTGGCACAGAGGCCAGAGAAAACAAGCACAATCTTCTCCACAGTGTGGTTCCCATGTTCTCAGTCTATGTCAGGATGTCAGCAAGGGGCACAGGTGGGGCCATCAACCAGCATGAGGCCATGGGCCCTCACCTAGGCCTACAGCATCTGCATCTCTTGATGAGAAGCCAGAGCATCTGGACTTCACACCAGCTCTTTTATATGCCCTAAAACCCAAGGGCCTGAGGAGAAGGTGTGAGCGAGAGGTCAGAGGGGACCTGAGCCAAGAAGCGCACATGGCAGGGGGGCCGAGAGGGCCCAGGGGGAAGCCTGCTGCCACAGAAGGCCAGGTAAGGCTGAGTGTGAGGAAGGGGATGGCAATGGCACTGACGCCACCAAGAGGACAACACAATGAGGATAGATGTGCTCGTAAGGTGGGGATCAGAAGGTTGACAGAGACCATGGTGAGAGTATTTTAGAAGAGTGGAGGAGCCTACACTGGGCCGAGCATGAGGGGGTTAGGGAGCTAAGAACATGGCTCCTACGAGACATGTAACAGAGAAGGGAAGAGAGAGTGGTAGCTGCAGGAAGAGTCAAGAAGAGGCATCACGTGTTTTCCTTTAACGGGAGAAACTAGATGAGAATGCAGGAGAGTGAGTGCTGAAGATGCAGAAGAAAGCAAGCTGAGACAGGAGGGCAAAGTTCCTTAGACGATGGTACCTGGGGGGTGAAGAGGTCACCTTGTCAAGTGGGCAGGCACTGACCCCAGTGTAGGGAGGGGAGGAAGCTTCCCTCTGACAGTGACCATCTTCCTAAGGCTGGGGGGCAAGGTTGTCTGCAGCACCAAGAGAGGAAGGAGGAGAGGCGAAGGGTGGGCTGGGTAGAGAGGAGCCACCAGGAGAAACACCAAGCAGAAGACAGCAGGCTGGAGATGGGATACTCTGGACAGATGGGTCCCCAAGGGACAGGCCCAAGAGGTGGCCAGATGTGCTGAGAGAGAACACTTGGGAGAGCCACAGGTCATCACTATGGGGAGAGGTCCCAGGTGGGGTGGGAGGGGCAACAACGACTGGGGGTCTAGAAGCTGGGGGACAAAGTACGGTCACAGTGGGAGTACACTGTCTGCCCCAGAACGCCAAGTGCCCTGGGAGGGCAGAAACTCATCTTTCCAGATCACTACCGTACCTCTTAGGTGTCCAGGATAGCACCTGCCTTACTCCAGGCTTTGGGCACGTGTTGAGTGAATGAATGAATGAATGATCAAGTGAGCAGAGAAATAAGAGTAGCCTCATGGGTGGGTGGTGAGTCAGAGAAGCAGATACAGACGGTGGGGGTGAGGCCCGGGGAGAGGCCACAGGGCCCCTGATGCACAGGGAGGGGTGGAGAGGCCAAGGAACCAGGAGGACAGGCAGGGGAGAAGACAGACCTTGTTCCTCAAAGGAAGGACTCGTTAGCTGGAGTGAAACCAGGAGTCTGAAAATGGAACAATGGTACAAGGGGGAGGAGAGGGGCCCATATGAGCCAGGAAAGGAAGCGGTGAGGAGCCCTGCCCAACCCGTGACCAGTCAGCATGTGGTTCAGAAAAAAAATTATTGGAAAGGGGACAGCTGTGGGCCAAGGCCACCCCTACACACCTGGGAGTAGAGAGTAGCATGGACCCAGGCAAGACGGCGGCTCAGGTGGTCCAGCTTTTCTGAGAAAACCTTCTGGCTCTTGGTCAACTCTGCAAGGATGTCTTTCCTCTGCCACACCAGGGGAAAGGAGGACAATCAGGATATGGCCTCGTGCTTCAGCTCCCCTACCCCAGGCCTGAGGTCTGTCATCACACTGCCAGTCTGAGAGGGGAGGCTCTGTTGGTGCTTGGGGCATGCAAAGGGTTAGAAGACCTGGGGTTCACCCTTCAAAACCCTAATTTGCCACTGATCCACCAGTGAGCCTGGGCAAGTCTCAGAACAGGGCATGGGCATCTTCTCATGTGACAGAAGTAAGATCTAGTTGGGTGTCCACAAGCCCCTAGTTGAGGCACCCCCAGAACTCAATGCCGAGCTCCAGCAGCTGTTCTCGCCTGGGTCAGGCCTGGGGCTCTTCTGACAAGTGGGGACAGGTGGGACTGCCAGGGAAGCCCCACCTAGCCATGCCTGGCCCCACTCCTCAGGCCAGGGCAGCCACAGCAGAGGGGTCCTCACATGTGTGGGGGGCCAGGCCTTGCTTCCTGCTGAATCTGCAAGTGGTGGCCCAGGCAGCACTCAGGGTGGAATCCATAATTGATGAGGAGAGTGGGTGTGCATCAGCACTTAGTGGGCTGGGGTGAGGGGGGCTTGGCACAGGCTGCAGCTGGTGGATGGGGCTTGGGCCTTGCCAGGCCCGCTGCCAGCCCTAAGCTCACTGTCTTGGTGTGGTCAAGATGGGGGTAGGGACAAAGACTGCTGGGGAAGCCCCTAAATGCAGGGCCAGGACAGCCCAGATTTCCTTTGTGGGCTGCCCTGAGGCCCCGAGTGGGCAAGCTGCCTCTCTCACCCACCCCCAAAGACCCACCTGCCTGTTCAGAACTTACCCACTTGGGGCACCGGCGGAGTTTGTCTTCTGTGTCCCTCAGAGCCATCGCATACTCATTGACATCATCAGACACGCCCACCATCTAAAGTGTTGGGTACCACACATCTGAGGTGACCTTTGTGTACCCTACTCAAGCTTCTCCAGAGCCAGCCTGGACCCCAGTCCTGCCAAGCTTCCAACCTCAGGCCTAGGGCACCTTCTTTCCCACAAGTCAACCAAGTCAGTTCTAAATAGTGTCAGCAGAAACCATTCTTACTGAGGCACATTCACCCATAAGCAACTCTGCAGACATGGGTGCACACGCAGGTATATGTGTGCACACACACATGCACGCATGCACGCACGGCAGAACCCCCTATACACGTGCATGGCCAACCCACGGTGCAGGACCTTGCCCAGCTGCTGGTGGACACTGAGGTTATACATCATGATGGCACCATCGAGGATTTCCAGCAGTGAGTTCTCAGTGAGGGGCTGCTCCGGTTCTTCAGGTGGCCGCCCCAGCAGCAGGCCCTCATTCCAGTGGCTGCCCTCGACTAGGGAGTAGGAGAAGGGCAGGGTCAGGGTCAGGCTATCCCAGCTCTCTCCCAAGCCTATGGGACCAGGATGAGCCTCATGGCACAGAAGGATCTGCTCTCCGCTTTCCTGTGCCCAAGGAGGGACCTGCAGGGAGAACATGGGGGAGGGGGTGGGGCAAGGCCCAGAAGCTCCAGGACCTATTTCTGTAACATCGATTTTCTGCCCTCAGAGTGTGCTTCCTGCGCCCTTGAGATGCTGCCAGGCCACAGGGCCGGAAGGGCATGGGGTGTACCCTGGTTTTGCCTAGGGTATGTGTGGGCGGGACTGTACACAGTAGAAGGGTCCTTTTTTGCCCTGCCTGGCACCTACTGTCCTCGCGGGTCCTCTGCTCTGCGCTCAGTGTGCGGACCTTCACTTTCTCCGTGGTGCTCAGAGGCCGCCGTGGGGTCATGAGGCTCATGGCCGCCGTGCTGAGGAAGCGGTTGGCTCGGCCCAGGGTTGGGGAACTGAGCCAGCCAGGTCGGGGCAGGGGCAAAGCCCCCCCCATAGCTAAGGCCTGCATGGGGCGCTGCGGTGGAGAGAGGAGGCCAGAGGCCATTCAGCTCCCTGGGACCAGGGGCCACCTAGGGCTCCCTCTGATCCATGGGGCTGGGGAATGGGGAGGAAGGGTTCTTGTCTCCACCCACAGCCAAGGAACCCGCCTGGAGAGACACCCCTTGCCTGCATGGAGGGGGAGATGGCTTTGTGTGATACCCCTTCCCATGTGACAGAGGAGAAGCCCCCCACCTGCCCCTACCGCGGCACCTGGGCCGCAGCTGGGGCTGGCTCCTCATCTTCATCCAGGTCATCCATGGTGGTTGCCTGGAGTTCCTGTGGGTCAATCAGGATGTTGGCCTTGGAGGCAAGGTCATCTAGGAGGCAAGGCAGGAGAGTGCTCAGGCCAGAGGATGGGTGATGGCCACCAGCTGGAACTTACCAGGACAGCAGGGAAGCACTAGCTGGCTTACAGGAAGCCTTACAGGGCCCCACTGACCCTGTGCCTGTCCCTCAATCCCTCCAGTCCAATCTTTATTCTGCAGCCCAAGGGCCCCTCCTTGACTCCTCAGCAGGAGGCATTTCTGATTACAACCTCCCCTGTCACTGGTGCTCATGACCTTGCCCTTTCCAGGGCCTTCCCTATGTCTTTGACTATTCCATCATCTCCTTCCTTTATCTGGCCCCATAAACAAACTGAGACCCCAGGGTGCTCACTTCACTTTGCACAGTTCCAGGGAGCCAGGCCTCACATAGGCTGGTCTATACTGCCATGCTGACAACTGACTACACCACTTCTGCCTGCATCCCAGCCTTGCTCCCAGCTATGTCTCTGGGCACCTCACACACACTGAGCTCAACACTGAATTTGTTACAGCAGCCTCCTTCTGCAGTCCCTCTCCCTGCTGGTGCCCATTCTCCACACCATAGCAGCCAGAGGGAGCTTCTTAAAATGCAGACTCCCTTGCAGAATAAATGTTATCACCCAAGAGCACTGTGCTCCTTTAAAAAACTATCTGTATGAGACCAAATGGCCAACATTTACTCTCAACCAAAGATGGGAAGGCAAAGGGGGCAGAGAAACTAGATTACTGGAAATAGAACAATTAGAATGCAAATAATGAGAAAGTTGCCACACTGTGAAAGATGCAAACGATGGCACTAAACAAATTATGTAGAGATTATTAAAATGGGAACTAATTTGCTGTGTAAACTTTTACCAAAAACACAATATGTATTTAAAAAAAAAAAAAAAAACTCCTCTACTGTACTCTCATCCCCTGGGGCAGGTCCATACCTGCTGCGTGGCCTGTAAGGACCTGAGACTCTGTCCAGAGACCCCTTGGCCTCCCCACTACTCTCTGCCTTGCCTTCTATGCCAGCACACCAACTGCTTCCCATCTCCAGGCCACATGGGGCTGTGTCCGCATCCCTGCTCTTGGTCACGCTGTGCCCTTTTCACTGGGTGACTTCCAGGGTGAATTCACCCTCGGAAGGCAGTTTAGGGAGCACTTGCACCCCCATCAAGATCCCTGAGTCTCCTTCTCTGGAGCACACCTGTCCCCTTATTTCATTACAGGACTGCAGTGGCTGCTCCAGGGAGATGATGGTGGACCCAAGACCCAAACAAGGCAGGGAAATGCCAGTTAGCATCTCCCTCCTACAGAGGCTCAAGAGCCTCACGCGCCCTCTGGTGGGCACAGAATAGCTCAGCACCCATCCTCACCCACACCTGCTCCAGGGCCCACGTGCCAGCACTTACCTTTGAGGGTTTTCCGAAGATGAGAGAGGAGGCCCCCCAGGCGCTGCAGGTCAAAGTAGTCCACTTTGCCATTGTAGAAGATCTGAGGTGGGATGTAGGCCTCTGCAAGGAGTTGGAGAGGCTGCGTCAACTAGTCTAGGCCTAGCACAAGGACCCTCCCAGAGACCTCTCTTCTACTCTGGCCCAGCATAGCCAGGCCCCCTGGCCTTGGCCACCTGCAGCGAGATAGCATGGGTGGGCGGAACTCAGCCCCACCTTCCCTGTTTTCAGGACAGTGCTCACAAGTGCACAGTTATGATGAACGGGACATTCTTGGCTGACAGTCACCTGGGAGAAGAGAGAGGATCCTGACCTAGCCCAGTCCAATCCAGGGCAGGTGAGGCTTCCCTTGACCCTTAGAGATTTGTCTTACACAAATACAGTGTTCCCTAATACTCCAGAGCCCATCCAAGGCAGCCATTACAAAGGGCTGCTCAGAGACTAGATGGGGCAGGACTGAGGGAGGGAGCACAGAGGATTCAGGAGCTTGTGAGGACACTCAGCATGAACATGGTTCCTACTGGCCCAGTGGGGAGGCCACCTATAGGTGGGGGTGGGCTCAGTTGGGCAGGAGGCAGTTTTCCCCACTCCCTCCACACCAATCTGTCCAGCCTTGCTGACCCGAGGCCCCAGCCCTACTCACCCTCACTGAAAGAAGTGCTGGGGTTCAAAGCCTTATATTCATCCCAGTAATAGCGCAGGGCAGAGATCAGCCGGTGCAAGAAGCAGACCATATACTCGGGAGGGCAGAGCATAGGCATGTTCTGTGGGCACACAGCATACGTGCATTTGTGCAGCCTGGAACCCAGTCCCATCCTCACCCAAGGCCCTGCCCCAAGATCCTGGGCTAAGCAGAGAGGGAAGGGCTGGGCAGGGATAAGGCAGGCTGAGAGGGGCCAGAAGCCAGGGGCCTGGACACTGCAACCCAGCCAGGGTCTGGTCAGGTAGGCACCTACCCCCCGGCCGCTAGCGTTCTCCTGCAGAAACTTTCGGAACTTGGTTAAGAAGATGTACCTAGAAGCTTCACCCTTCCAGGGAGGGGAAAACGAGGCTTTGATGAGCTGAGAATCAGGCCCCAGACTGGCCTAGCTCAGTGCTGTTCCTGACCAGCCAGTTCCTGATCCTGACCCCTACCTTGGGGTCCAACATAGCACCCTTCCCCACCAGGACCCATACAGGGATCTGGAGGGAGTCACTCACCCCATTGCTGTCTTTATTGTTCAATAGTAGCTTCAGGATCTGGACCTGTAGCTCTTCCACCACTAGAGGATGGAGGAAGGGAAGGGATACGATGCTGAGGCCTCTTTAGGCTGGGCCTTACCCTCAGGGGTTAGAGCAGGCAGCAGGCTCGGGCCAGAGCTCTACCACCAGGGTTTCCTGAGTGCAGCCCAGTGCTCCCAGGTACACATGCCCATGACTCCCCCACCCCCAGCCGGTGCCCGAATCAGGGCTGACCTTCGATGCGCTTCTTGAGCCTTTGGCAGCCCCGTTCATAGGCACGCCTCCGCAGCCGCTCCTCTGCAGTCTCCTCCCTCACCTCCTTGCTCTCTTTGTCCTGGGCAGAGATTGGGTGGGAGACAGCAAGGCTCACCCAGGCCTACTTCAGATAGAAGACCCTCACCCTCACCCCCATGAGTCCAGGGACCAGAGCTAGAGCAGGGGTCTCGCATCCTAAGTGCCAGGTAGCCCAGACATCCTGGGCCAGCCCTCAACATGCTCACTGCTTGCCCACTTGGGGTCGCTCACCTCTCTGCTGGAGCGGTGTGGCCACCAGGTGGTAGGAATGAGCTCCTGCAGGCCAGCCTCCTCCACACGCAGGGGGCTCTTGATGTAAAAGAAGACTACAGAACGGAGCACATCGAAGCTGGCAGTGGTTAAGACAGCTCTGTTCACCAAAGGGTGCCCTGCACATCCTCATCAGTCCTCCCTCTTCAGCACTCTCAAACAATGCCTACCCTGGATGTGCCCCCTACAGCTCTCCGCCCCCAAGAGTGCCAACACTGCTATATTCCTGTCTCCTCCAGACCTTGAGTCATGTGAAGAAGCTGTGGCTGCCAAGCCTCCCAAGCCTGATAAACACCAGGAACACAAGGAAGGCCTGTCATGAGAACAGATGACTGTGGGACAGGCTGGTGAGAGGGGCTGGTGACCTCTCCCCTGACCCCAACTCTGGAAGGGGAGCTCTGGTGGCATAATGCCTAAGGCACCTCACTGCTAACGAGAAGTCTGGCAGCTCAAACCCACCAGCCACTCCTTGGAACAAAGACTGAGCAATCTGCTTCTGTAGAGATACTGCCTCAGAAATCCAAGGAGGGGTAGCTATGAGTCGAATCAACTGGACAGCAGTGAGGTTGGAGGCTGGAAGACCCCAGACTTAGAAGATGGCCAAGAGCACAGACTTCCCAGCTAGCACCCCAATACCAGGCTCTCCCTCCTGCTTGTAAAGGTCTCAGCTTTTTTGGGAAGCGGGAAAAGCTGTCTCCTTAAAGGTCTTGTAGGAACCCTTGCCCTGGAACATAGATAAGAATGCAGTACTTTGGTGGAAAGACGCACAGAAATAATTAGCCCAAAGGACTAGTAGACCATGTGATCTTCAGCCTATATGACCATGAGATGAGAAGAACTAGACGGTGCCCAGCTGCCATTGTCAACCACTTGGAGGGGGATCAGTGGAGAGCCCAGATAGAGTGCAAGAACAATGTGGAACCAAACTCAAAATCATAGAAGAAAAAAAGCCCCCCCCCCCCCAAAAAAAGGTTTGCTAGTCTGATGAAGCCTGGTGGGACCCCTGAGACTACAGTCCCTAGTTATCCTTCAGGTCTGAATTGAACTCACTCCTGTGACTTCCAGCCAAACAGACAGCCATGTGGGGTGAACATTTATGCCAAGTAGTTATACTCCTTGTCGTGGGAGAATAGAAGGGCTGTGTATGCACAGGGAGACAGCTAGAGGGGAGGGCAGGAGTGCATGGGAGGGAAGGACATACGGAAGAGGTAACTACAGGGAGGAAGTGGGAAGAGAGCTGTTACATTGTGAGAAATTGCAGTCAGTGTCATGAAACAGAATGTGTATAAACTGCTGTATGGAAAATGAACTTGCTCTGTAAACTCTCCTCCAAATCACAATAAAAATTAAAAAAAAAAAAAAAAGAATGCAGTGCTTTGGTGGAAGAGAACAGGCCCTGATGGCCCCTGTACCTCCACGTAGCTCAAGCATCTACAACCGTGTAGAAACCCTGCCCAGGCTGGCTAGTTGGCCTTAGTTCTTTACCTTCACTGTTCTGTAGAGAAAGTGCTGGGCAGGCTGGGGCTGGGGACAGGTGATTCACATACTGGGGGACTCTGGTCTTCTTGAGCTTCCCTAAGGACCCCTGGCCAAATGGACACTGCCTTCCCTGGTCTCTCCTGACCCCATGTCAGTACCATATGTATGGCCACTAGGCAGCAAGGGGGAGGATACAGGACGTTGCTAAGCAGAAACTTGCGGGACTTCTCGTGCTTCAGGATGGCGATAGTGAGCCGCAGGTAGTGGATCTGTGGGGAGGGGTGCTCAGTGTAGGTGGGCCAGGCCCAGGACACTCAGGGCAGGGGCATGGGCAGGGGCTCCCACCTGCAGGCTCAGGTCTGGAACGATGGGCGAGAACCGATATAGCCGCAGCAGGGACATCATCAACTGCTTGAGGCAATCCTGGACCTCGTAGTCCTGGGGGAGAGATACCTGGCTATGCACCTACCACAGCCCAAGGGCAGGCTCCAGGGCTGCCATTCTTGGGGCCTTTTGTAAGTCCCAGCCTATATTTCCCACCCCAACAGAGCCTGACATCGTCGCCTGAGCCCCGGGGAGTGAGAATCGAGGGCCTCACCTCCATGAAGAGCCACAAGAGGTCCAGGATCTGGTGTACCACCGCCTGTGTCTTTGCAAGTATGCCTGACTCCACGATGCCAAGCAAGAAGCTCATGAGCACAGCCTCCACCAGGTATACCATGCGCTGCACCAAGGGTGAGCCCTTATCAGGTAGTGCCCTTCTGCCCCACTCAGGGCACACTGGCCTGACACACAGCTAAGGCCATGCTTGAAGGCTCTGGCCACAGGCAGACTGACTCTTGGGGCCCCTTGAGTAACCCCAGCACACAGATGAGCCCTTCTCCAGGGTCTGACTGAAGGACAAGAAGGGCCACTGGCCACATCCCTCTGGGGCTTCACACATGCATTTCTCCTGGCCTGTGTCATCACTGCTCTCTCAATTTTCTATCTAGATATCCTGATACTCTCAGCTAGAAGCATCTCCTCCTCTCCAGGGTGTTGTCCTTAGAGTCTGAGAGGTCTGGTGATGGCCCTGGACCTCACACCACTCAGCATCCCAGCCCTAAGCAGGGATTTATCTACCATGACCTGCCTCTCCTGCTCACAAGTGTCCTCTCACCAGGAGGGGCGCAAAACGTTGGAAGATGTGGGCCAACGTCAGGAGGACGGTGGGCTGGCCCTGCAACTGCCACTCAGAACCTTCCTTTACCAGCAGCCGTCCATCCTGCATGCAAGGGAGAGGAGGCTGTGAGGGGCAGAGAGCTGGGCAAGGCCCCCAGTTTGCTCACCCAGACTCTGGCTCACCACAGGGTCCAGCTCCACGCTGAGCACCGCCCGGAAGCAGCCAAGCAACCTCTGTGCCCGTACCAGGTCAGCCCGTGGCGGGTCCTGCAGGGGTCGGTAGCCTGCCACTGGGTAGGTGCCACAGAGTTAAGCCAGCAGCCATGATCTAGACACACCTGCCCCCCTCCCCATTGTGACTCCTGAGGAGGGGCGAGGGGCTCTAAGGCAGGGTTGTAGAGTCAGACAGCCTGGTTTGGCCCACAATTCTCCCACTTGTATTCTCTGTGAAATGTAACTCCTCTTGCTGCTTCAGCTTCTTCATCTGTGAGAGAGGTATTAATGGCACTCACCTAACAAGGCTGTTGTAAGGACTGTTGTCTTCAGCAGCCACCTAAGCTGCAGGATACTCACTCCTTGCTGCAGCCAGGGCCTGCCACCAGCCCACAGAAATTCTGGGGCAGGGAGCCCGTCACCCCAGCTTCCCCAAGAGCTCCCAAGCAGCCCATAGCAATCTTCCCAAAAGGATATCGCAGGGGGCGGCTGCCGAAGTTGAAGGCTACGGACTCCTTGAAGGAGAGGCTGATGGCTGGGAAGTAGGCCATGCCCAGGCCCCTGGATAGGTTCTCAAAGGCAGTACCCAGCGACACACCGTTCCTGGAGCAGAAGGGCAGACCTGTAAACCAGTGCTACAAAGGGTGTGGCCAAGATGGGGCAGTCTGTTTGGGGCTGCCTACCCTCAGGCCTGGCCCCTTTACAGTGGCTGGGAGGCTAGGCTTGTGAACAGAGGTGGGAGACTCACAGGCAGAAGGACAGAGAACCGTTGTCCAGGTCAATCAGGCAACTCACGATGTCCCCCGCTGCCCATGCCTGCCCAGGGGAGGGAGTCTTACAGACGTGCAGAAGCCCAACAGCCTGTCCACTCTGCCCCTTCTGCTGCGTCTCCACTGCCACCAGGGGTAGATTGGCCACAAGTATGGAAGACCTGAGTTCCCATCCCCAGCCCTGGTGCCCTACGATCCCTCATAGCTGCCCAGGGGATCAAGCCAAGTTATGGGGATGGACACGGGAAGGTGTCACAGGAGCTGGGCCCTCACCTTGCCATAATTTGTTGTGGTCACATTCCATTTGCGCACCCGGTTGCCATCGTAGGCATAGGAGTTGTGTGTATCTCCAACCCCCTCCTGGAGAAGAGACACCTGTGAGGTTTCAAAGGCTAGCAGCAGGGCCAGAATCCACCAGCCACCAACCTTGGACTGACATGCTTTTAGGAAAGGGGGCTGATGCTCTCAGGAAAGGTGGGGTGCCTTGGGATAGGGCAGGGCCCATTCCTCCACCGGAAGGCAGTCCTGTTTAGGACCCTGAGCAGACCCTGGTCCTGGACAGTCTCAGGGGCTGCCCAGGCCCCAATGACACCTGTACAGGGGGTGATCTCCCTGAGAGGAATGCCCCTCCCTGGTGCGTACCTCCTGATTGAAGCGGCAGTTGATGGTGCACCAGCCGATCTGCATAAGCCCTTGGGAGGAGATGAGCACCTCGTAGACCCATTTTCCTGGAAAGAGCTAAGTCAGGGGCTAGGAGCTCACAGGTAGACAGACTGCCTCCTGTCTCGGGCTTGGGTTCTCAAACTTCTTCCCAACTCCCCAAGCCACAACAGAGCACGGTCTCACCTTTGTATACACATGTGGTAGAACGGATAGTTCCAAAGTTGCTATGCCCAATCACCTGGGTGAAAAGCAGGGAAGGTGTGGGCTTCCCCTCAGGCCCACACTGCACTGTGCCCAACAGGTGGGAGAAGCAGGATTTGTGTTGCAGGGGAGTCTGGGCCAGGGCCATGATAGGAGAGGCTTGGGGCTGCAGCCACATTAAGAGGGGGTCAGGAAGGTTTGGAGCCACATGAGGATGGATATGTGGCTACAGTCCTATCAGAATGAATACAGAGACTGGGGCCACATCAGGAGGAACTTGGTGCTGCGTTGGGAAGGACTTGGACCTGGGATCTTACACCTTGTCCTCACTCACCCCCAAGAGGTCGTCATCAACCAGGAGAAGCCCCTCAAAGCCACCTGTGTGGTCTAAGACCACAGTGGATGGGCCAAGCCGCCCTTCATCTTGTCCTGCAAAGAGAAGAGGTATGGAGTCCGGCAGGGTAGAGGGGCTGGCAGAACACATAGGGTGCAATGAACTCACCAGGGCAGCCACCTCCAGGTTCCAGCCTCAGCCCTCACCCATCCCAGGGGCTGCCACGTACCCTGGGTTTCCTCATGTTCATCATCCACCTGCAGCAGCTGGTCGAGATGCTCTGGCAGGTTCTGGAAGTTCAGAGGTTTCCTTGGGAGAACGAGAGGCTGTGAGGGGTCCACACGTCCTGGAAACCAGCCAGATGACACTAAACTCCTCTCCCATCCCCTTTTCCCTAAGTTTCAGAAGGTGGCTGCCCAGATTCTAGAAAAAGGGCCATGCCCAGTTCTAGACTCTGTCATGTTGGGGGTCAGAAACCAAAAATCTGACCAGTCCAATTTGGTGTACCTCAGGACTGTCACAAAACAAGAGCCATTTCTAAGTCTTAATAATCCACTGACTTGTAAATCAGAAACAGTGGCTATATGTCAGAGTTGCAGAGGATAACAAGGACTAATAATTTATGCTCCCTGCATAGCCCACAATGTGGCCACTGTCAAAGACAGTTGCTTTGATTCTGTCTGGAAGAGGAAGACTCAGAAATGCCAGCCTCCAAGGTGGTCAGTACAAAGGCCAGCTAGTTCAACCCTTAGTGACAGACCTGTAGTTCCTTTGGGCAGACTTCCAGTCTACCCATCACCCACCCAGGGCAGTCCTTATGTCAAATCAGATACACATGGTGATACAAAGGCCTCAGCTGTCTGTTCTTAGAACCAGTGGGTGGTTCTGTCCTGCACCTCTTTACACATGGATGGGCAATGGAGGGCACAGCCACCCACCACCTGTGCTACCAAAGGAGCTGGGAAAATCTCTCCAGGTGCCCCCTCTGACACAAATGTCCAAATGAGAAAGGACCCTATACAATGCAGCCAGCTCTGTCCTCAGCTCAGCTGCTAATAATAGTGTGTGTGTGTGTGGGGGTAGAGAGTAGAGACCTGATGCCTTATTCGGGCCCAGCCCTCAGAGCTACCAGCACCTGCTCTTCCACCTCTAATCCTGACTCTGACCTCACATGTCAAACAGAGGGAAGCTCTGGGAAGGGATCTAGATGGGCCAAGCGCTGGCAAGGTAGCTCGAGCCCAAGCTCAGGGACCATGTGTTCCTCTGTTATGAGCCACTAACGACCCTACGTTGCAGGAGGTGGAGATGCACAAAGCCTCCTCCTCACCTCTGTTGAGACCCAGGCCAAGGCCAAGTAGTAACCCCACAGTGGGGTCCCCAGCCACCATTGTGGAAGGCTGCAGCAGTGTCTCTGATTAACCTAATGGGCCCAGGGCTAACAGAGATGTCTCTAAATTTTTTTTTTTTTTTAATTATAGCTACTGCTTTATTTATCCCTAATACTTTTTTTTTTTTAATTGTGATTTGGGTGAAAATTTACAGAGCAAATTCACTTTCCCTACAGCAGTTCACATACACTTTGTCTCATGACATTGACCACAATTTACCACAATGCAACAGTTCCCCTCCCACTTTCTCCTGGTTAATTACCTCTTCCCTGTGTCCATCCCTCTATGCCCTCTTGCCCCCTGAGCTGTTTCCCTGTGCATAAGCAGCCCTTCTTTCTTCCATGATTGTTGTCTCCAAGGAGTGTATCTACTTCAGGTAAATGTTCAACTCATATGCCTGTCTTTTGTTTGGCTGGAAGCCACCGGTGTGGGTTCAATTTCAGACCTGACAGGCAGCTAGGGACCATAGTCTCAGTGGTTACACCAGGCTCTATCAGACCAGCAAACCTGGTCCCCCCCCCCCTTTTTTTTTTCCCCAAATGATTTTGAGTTTTGTTCCACATCGTTCTCCCTCTCTATCCAGGCTCTCCTACATAGATCCTCTTCCAAGTGGTTGACAGTAGTAGCCAGGCACCATCTAGTTTTTCTGGTCTCATAGTCACACAGGCTGCAGACTGGATGGTGTACCAGTCGCTAGGACTGATTGTATCCATGAATTTTTGTTTTTTTTCATTCTTCTTTGTTCTGGATGATGAGAGACCCATCATTGCATCTAGATGGCAGCTTGCAAGCTGTTAAGATCCCAGTCGCTACTCCTCAAAGTAGGAGGTGGAACAATGTTTTGTGTGGTATGTTATGCCAATTGAGCTTGATGTCCCCTGTGACTATGGTCCCGAGCCCACAGGTTCAACTACTTGGTCCCTCTGGGTAGCTGGCTGTGACCAAGCAGTGACTACCACCTTGCCTCTTGTCAGCTTACTATACACCTGGGAATTCAGATCATACCCATAAACTTATAGGACCATTGTCTGCCAACCCTATACATGTTCTTGGGTACACTCCCCACTTCACAGACATACCTACTAGTTCAGCCGGTCCACCCATCTACCCACCAATGTTTGCCTTCACTGACAACGCAGGACTGTATGTGCAAAAGGGTTCATCTTTGTTGTCTGTACCTCCCATGTACCTCTCTATGTCTTTCTCTTCCTCAATGCCACCATATTGCTCACTCACAGGTACACTGCCCTTCTCTTCACCCAAATCAATATTTATCTCTATGTATCTATCTAAGAGTAGTTCTTGCAGGCACGTGTTTGGGCAGCCTGCTCATCTTGTGCCTGTCCCTGAGAGTACACTGCACACAGTTGTGGGCAGCTGGCCTGAGCTATAGCCTCCGCGAGTGCCTACAGCACCCTGTTTGGTCAACCCCAGCACTTGCCTGCCCTTTTTGGATTTCCCAGGTGCCAGCCCAGGGCCCTCCATCCCCATAACAACTGACTGATGGCCTCACCACCTGTTTTCCCTCCTGGCGGCCGAAGCACTGGCAGCAGCGGGACCATCTCTGGTATCACATGAGGCAGGGATCAGATGACCCTGGGAACCAGCCAGGACTGGGGTTGGGGTGGGGGTAGGCATTAGGCCTCCATAAGTAGGAACCCTCTGATGACTACAGCCACTTAAAAGGAACAGGCAATGATGCTGCCTTTTGTGCCTGCTCAGAAAGCAACTGTGAAAGACAGAATAGTTGAGGCTGGTGAGGGGCAGAGAGACAGGACACCCATGCCTCACTGCAAGGAATAAGGATCTACATGACCCTTTGAAGAAGTAACTTGGCAACAATCTTAAAAGTGATTGAAGGTCAAATGCTCTCACCACATGATCCCAATCTCAGATATCTTCACAGCACTGTTAACAAAAGAAAAAAACCCTCCAAACCAGAGCAGTGCTGATGACCACGGCAGACCCCTGGCCTAAAGGATCAATTTTTAATGTGAAAAAACACTCATGGGATAACATTTAGTTGCAAAAATAGGATTCAAAGTTTTACATACTATTGGAAGTGAGGGATATGTTCATTACCTTGATGGTTTCACAAGTCGTGCGTGTATCAAAACATCAAATTGTATGTTTTAAATATGTGCTGTTTATTATATGTTAATTATAATTATACCTCAGTAAAGATACTTAAAAAAAAAAAACTGAAGATGACAGAAACTTTAAAAAGAAAAAAAAAATTTCTATACACCATTATCTAAATTACATATAGCACCTTATGACACAAAGAAGACAGAAAGAAGTCACATTCAAGTAATCATAAGGTGATAGATACCTGTCCTTTCTTTTTTTAAATCTGTTTCTAAGTTTCTGCTAAAGCATGTTTATAACTTTTGTACAGACTAAACTTAAATGCATTACACATGCAAGGAGAAGGGCCTGATGAGGCCTATACTTCCCCAGTTCAGGAAGAGGCTACAAGGGGTCAGGATGAGGGAGAAGTGTCGGCAGGTGGGCACAGGACTAGATGCTGAGTGTGGAGTAGGTGCTATGCTGAGCACTGAACGTGCCTGACCTCCACACACCCTCAGAAGGAAAGGACAAGTACTGTCTGGAGAGATGAAGCAGCAGAGCCCCGAAGCAGACTCTCGCTGAAACTGTGGCTGGAGCAGCTAAGTGAACCAAGTCAATCTGCCTAGAGCCTAGGCTCCCCTTCCCCATGACCCCTGCAGCCTCTGGCCTCTGGTCTGTCCAGCAGAGTGAGGAGGTACCCAACCATACCTGCTGGTGGCTATGGAGGACACATGATCCGGAGAGGAAAAGATGCGGTGCAGATAGTCATTCAGTAGCTTCTCATGCACAATACCTGGGCCACAGGTTGGAAAAGAGAAGAGGGTCACATGGTCAGCACAACTCACAGCCTCAGCCAGCCCCAGAGGTCCTCAGCCAGTCACAGGGGTCACAAGATCACCTATGCTGGGTGCATTGCTCCATGGTTACCAGGGAAGATAGCTGGCTCACAGGTACAAACAAGTGGGTGCAGCAAGGCCTGACGCTCGTCAGAGCTGGGGCTTTGCTGCCTCTGCCCCTTTGTTCTCCTTTCCCCAACACAAAGCACCCTCTCCCAGCCCTTACCTGTGACCTTGGCTTTCTCGGTGTCCGAAGTCAGCCTATAGCTTTTGCGAGTGAAAGACATGCCAGCCCCCTTGGACGCCATCTTTCATCTCTCAGTGGTTCTGGGGACTGAGCCAGAGGCAGAGCCCATCTGCATGAGGCCAGCTAAGGGCCCCCACACCTGACCCCAACCCTGAAATGGCAGGAAAGCTTGGGGGCAGGTGAGGATAGGTGCACACAAATCCATACACATACAGGGGCTCCCAGCTCCTATACAGGGAAGGTAGATACTATCCTTGGACAGTAGGCCTAGGGTCATGTGACAGAGACCATGTCTTCTTCCCTCTGTGTCCCAGCGCCCAGCTCAGGGCTTGCCAAAGAGCAGATGCCAGCTATATGTTTGTTGAACCACAGTTAACTGCCTCAACCTTAGGGAAGTCAGACCAAAGTGTCCTAAGTGAGGTAGCCTTCTACTCATCTCAGCAGTAAGCTACACTAGGTCTAGGTCATACTCAAAGAACCCTATGCCATATCCCCCCAAGAGCATTCCACCAACTGATGGCTTGGTAACATCTCCTGTCACAAGTACCACTGACACCTCTAGGGCCAGAACCTCTGTCCTCAGCTCCAGGATCCTCTTTTGCCTGCTAGTTTTCTTGTTCTCATCCCCCAACCACCATCCAGGCATCACCCTTGCTAAGTCCTCATTGCAGACTTCCAACTGCTATCCATCCCTCATATACCACACTGATGCTGCAGCTGTTCAACAGCCTGGTACAGGCTGCATAATCTAGAGCTATGCTGTCCAACACAGTAGCCCCAGCCACATGTGGCTGTAAATTTGAATTAAAGTGTTTAAAAAATCAACAATTCAATCTCTCAATTGCATTAGGCACACTGCAAGTATTCAATGGCCACATGTGGCTACCATGTAGGATAGGGCACATATTGTTGTTGTTGTTGTTATGTGCCATCGAGTGGGACCCGACTCATAGCGACCCCTCCTTGGGTTTCCAAGGCAGTATCACTATGGTAGTAGATTGCCCCATCTTCCTTCTGAGGAGTAGCTTGTAGGTTTGAACCACCAGCCTTCTGGTTAGCAGTAAGTGCCTTAGCCACTATGCTACCAGAGCTCCTAGGGCATATATAGGACCTTTCTATCTGGCAAAGTTCAATTAGACAGAGTTAGTCTACAGCCTGGCCCTCCAGCACTGTCTTAGGCAGCACCCCTTTCTCTGCAGCTCAGTCTATTATCTCTTCTCACACAGGCCCTCTGTTCCCGCCACACACTCTTGCCATACACAGTCTCCACCACGCCTGCTCCTCGAGAAGGTGACACCTTAGCCCTGCCGCCCACCATGGGCCCTCAGCGCGCGTCCATGACTGCTGACCTCTCACACCAGAGCACGTGTGCGGCTGATTTAGACTAGGTCACTCATTTGATCACTAAACCTTCCAGACACCCACTCTGGGTATCAGGTACTGAAGACCTAGGTTGGAGGCGGACTCTGACGCTGCCCAGGGGCTCCCTGCCACGGCGACCTCGTCCAGCCCCGCCAAAGGATCCGTGCTCAGAACCCAATCAATCCGGTTCCGGAGCTCAAGGACGCGGAGGGCAGCGCCTGGATCCCCCAAGGCGCTCCCGCCCGGCCCCAAGTCCCGGAGGACCCTCCAGGTCAGCTCCGACCCAGGACCTTGCGCCACAGGCCGCGATCCTCGCACGGTGGGCGGCCTCGCACTGGGCGCGCCGAGGCCAGGGGAGTACCCGCCGTGACTCGTCCCACTAGGAGCACTGCTGCCCCTCACTCACCCTCAGTCTCGGTGGCCTCGTCCCGGCTCACAACATCCGCCCAACCTCTCGGCTACGGCGCCTGTACAGGGCCAAACCGCGCGCCGTCCCGCACGCGCACGCGCACGCGCACGCGCCGGCACCCGGCTGCCACCAGGGGCCCTCCTCCTCCACCGTCTGCCGCCGAAATGTTCTGTCCTGGCCTCACCCGACCGCCCCACCAGCCAACCGCCTCCCAGCCCGGCCTGCGCAGGGGGGCGCTCCTAGCCTAGGGGTGCAAGACAGGCCCCCTGTCTCAGAGCGTGTTCGTACTTGGAAGTCCGGCTCAGATGTTCCCTAGGATGGCTGCAAGGCCGCGCCTGCCAGGGCTGCCACAACCTCTCACCCTCAACTCTGCTCCCAAACAGGCCCAATGGGAGGTCTCGCTTATCTTCCCTGGGATGGCATCCCTGAGGGGAGTCTTCCTGAGCTCTGGGGTCAGGCTTGGGCCTGATTTGCCACAGCTGGGGCCGATAAGGCAGCAAAAGGGCCGGGCCGGGTTGGGCTAGGCTGGAGGAAGGAAATGTTATCTACTGGGGACAAAAAAAATGAGGCTCAGAAAAATTCAGTGTCACTAGAAGGCTGGTGGTTCAAACCCACCAGCCACTCCTTGGAAGGAAGGTTGGGCAATCTAATTCCATAGTGATACTGCCTCAGAAACCCAAGGAGGGGTTGCTATGAGTTGGGTCCAACTCAATGGCACATAACACCACCACCACCCGAGAGCTGGAACCCGGCCTCTGGCAGCTCCCTTACCCACATTGTCCTTGAGGGCAGCAGAGGCTGCAGGAGGGCTCCTACCCAGCCCCAGGGAAATCAAGCCCTTCCACTGAACTTTTCCAACACCTGTCCTGTCACACCACTACATAGGGAGGCCTCTCAGGGGTCTAGTTTTGGTAGACCCTACTCCCTCCTGCCACAGTGTCCCAGGTCAGGCTCCAGCAGGCCTGGAGTGGGGGTGTGGAGCCAGAGTCACCCAATCCCGTAGAGACAAATTTCACAACTTCCCGGATGGGGCTGTAGTGGTTCACAGTGCAGCTTCCAGCCAGGACGATGGAGTGGCTTCCACTCCTGCTGCTTCTGACGCAGTGCTCAGGTGTCCTTGGTGAGTGCCTCCCACTCTGATCCAAATTTTCCTTCAGGAGGGGGTTGTCTCTAGGCCCATCCTGCTATTTGAGCCAGAAGCTCACTTTCCTACTGGGCATGGAGCAGTGCCCATGGCCTTTTGTGTAGCAAAAGCCCCTGGAATATACATACAAACTTCCCGCCCAGGCCCTGCCAGCACTATAGCACTGAGGTAGTGTTGGGGACATACAAAAGTAGGCACAGGCAGGCAGTCACACCTCCTCAGCCTGAACTACTCCTGTAACGCAGCATGTGTCCTCATGCTGATGAGGGCCCAGACTGAATGAGTCAAGTCAGAATGCCTGGGCTGGGCAATGTGATGGGTCTGAACTTTGGCATTATCTGAGAAGATGAAGCAAGCACCATCACCCACTGCCCTCATGGAGTGCATGTGTCCAACCTGAGCCCACTGCCTGGCCCATTAAATGGGGGCATTGGTGATAACTATCACATCTGGGCTTGCTTACCCTACCGTGTGCAAGGAGCCAGCCCACAGGGTCCATCTCAGGGCCTTGGAGTTTTGGTCCTCTGTATGAACATGGACATGAGTGTGGACATGTGGATGTACTTGTATATGGATATACATGCATGCCCATCTGCCTTATGTAAACCACATGCCCATCCCACAGGGCAGCGCTCGTGGCTGAATGACTTCCAGGTGCTTCGGGGTACAGAACTGCACCATCTGCTACATGCAGTGGAGCCTGGGGCTTGGCAGGAGGATGTGGCAGATGCTGAGGAGTGTGCGGGCCGCTGTGGGCCTCTTCTAGATTGCCGGTGAGTGGCCATGAAACCTAGATAAGGCTGGGGTGGGCCTAGATAAGGATGGGACAAGGGAGCCTGAGCAGCTGGCTGACCCTGTGCCTCTCCCCTCAGGGCCTTCCACTATAATGTGAGTAGTCATGGTTGCCAACTGCTGCCATGGACCCAGTACTCATCTCACACAAGACTACAGCGTTCTGGACGCTGTGATCTCTTCCAGAAGAAAGGTGAGTGACTATGGGGGGGGGGGGGAGCAAGTGGCATCTGGGCCCCAGGCGGCCTTGACTGTCCATCTCTTGCTCCCAGACTATGTGCGGACCTGCATCATGGACAATGGGGTCAGGTATCGCGGCACTGTGGCGACTACCGCAGACGGCCTGCCCTGCCAGCACTGGAGCCACAAGTTTCCGGTTGACCACAAGTAAGACAGACATCTCCCCTCTGTCCCTGTCCAGTCCCTTCCTCGCATGGTGTTTAATGGCATACAATTCCCTCAGGTACGTGCCCACACTCCGGAATGGCCTGGAGGAGAACTTCTGCCGCAACCCTGAAGGGGATGCGGGAGGTCCTTGGTGCTACACGACAGACCCTGCTGTGCGCTTCCAGAGCTGTGGAATCAAGTCCTGCCGGGAGGGTAAGTCGCGCGGGGTCGAGCAGAAGGAAGGGACAGGCCCACGCGTCCGTCCACGAACTCACCAGTTCTGTACTTCCAGCCGCTTGCGTTTGGTGCAATGGCGAGGATTACCGCGGCACAGTGGATCGCACCGAGTCGGGACGCGAATGTCAGCGCTGGGACCTGCAGCACCCACACCCGCACCCCTTCGAGCCGAGCAAGTACGTGTGAGCAGGATCTATGGAATGGGGGCCGGGTTAGGGGACGGTCGAGCACTTCAGAGGAGGGGTGGGCGGGGTCTGAGACCCAGGGTCTCTAGTTCATGCCCTGCTACCGCCACCAGGTTCCTCGACAAAAGTCTGGAAGACAACTATTGCCGGAACCCAGACGGCTCCGAGAGGCCCTGGTGCTACACCACCGACCCGCTGATGGAGCGAGAGTTCTGCGACCTCCCCAGCTGCGGTGGGGCCCGAGGCGGGGCCTGAGAGGGCACCCGGAAAGTGTGGGGGCGTTTACTGGCTGGGGCGGGGCGTGACTCCGAGGTGGGAGGAGAGCAAATCCCAGGAGGATGGAATGGGCCGGCATCCAGTACGGGTTCGTTTCTGGTCTGGGTCCAAGCTGCTTTGGTCCATCCAAGGGTCCAATGCACAGCCTCGCCAGGAGGCGACGACATTCAACTGCTTCCGCGGGAAGGGCGAAGGCTACCGGGGTACGGCCAATACCACGGCCGCTGGCGTGCCCTGCCAGCGTTGGGATGCACAGAGCCCGCATCAGCACCGCTTTGCGCCGGAGAAATACGAGTGCAAGTGAGGTGGTGGGAGGGCGCTGAGGGTGTATCCCGCGGGTGGGCGGGAGGAGAGCGGCCCCGGGGCGGAGCCTGACGCGGGTAGGCGTGCGGGCTGGGACCCAGCCACCGCTGAGGGACGTACCTGCGCAGGGATCTTCAGGAGAACTTCTGTCGGAACCCTGACGGCTCGGAGGCGCCCTGGTGCTTCACTTCACGGCCTGGCATGCGCGTGGCCTTCTGCTACCAGATCCGGCGCTGCGCCGACGACGTACGGCCAGAGGGTGAGGCTCGGAAGGAGGGAACTAAGCAGGGTTTAGAGGCGTGGGGCCAGCCGGTGGGCCGGGAGGGGACCAGGACTGACGGCCGTTCCCACTCGCCGCAGAATGCTATCACGGCGCGGGGGAGCAGTACCAAGGCTCGGTCAGCAAGACCCGCAAGGGAGTTCCGTGCCAGCGCTGGTCCGCGGAGATGCCGCACAAGCCACAGTGAGTCGTTTGAGGCCCGCCCACCTTTGGACTGTACGCTGCGAGCTTCTTGGAGCGCAGCCCGGAGGGGGTTTGGGACGACCTGGGTATAATTTTGTGCGCCCTCTTGCCTAGGTTCTCGCCCACCTTTGCCCTGCACGCGAAATTGGAGGAAAACTACTGTCGGAACCCAGATGGGGACCGCCACGGGCCCTGGTGCTACACTATGGACCCGGGGATCCCGTTCGACTACTGTGCACTGCTGCGCTGCGGTGAGCGCCGTCGACACGCCCCCGCCGCCCCCGCCACCAGACCCTAGCGCAGGAACCGTTAACCCCGTGAACTTGTCTTTCAGTCGATGACAAGACGCCTTCCACCTTGGAGCCTCCAGGTGCGCAGTTGGGCCAGGTGCAGGTCGGATCTTTTTGCCTACCCCAGTTGAGTCTCATTTGGCCCACCCGGTCCTCCAGACCAGGTGCTTTTTGAGGAGTGCGGCCTGAGGGTGGACCGGCCCAATCAGTGGCACCACAAGCTGCGTGTGATAGGGGGCCAGCCTGGAAACTCACCCTGGACAGTTAGTGTGCGCAACCGGTGAGTCACAAATGCCCGTCTTCCCAGGAGAGGTGTCAAGGCTGTGTCTTCTGATACTATGCTAGTGGAGGATTGAAACCTTCCCCTGCCTCAGGGGTCCTAGCCAGGTGATACAGGTCCAGTATTTACCTCCTGCTCACCCCACCTCCTGGCCCCCAGGCAGGGCCAGCATTTCTGTGGAGGATCCCTAGTGAAGGAGCAGTGGGTGCTGACTGCCCGGCAGTGCTTCTATTCTTGGTGAGCTTTTCTTGGTTTAACAGTCCTACCATCTGCCTTTGTCCTCCCCCTCAGCAGCTTTACCCAGATAAGCCAACAGGTTCTCCTGGGACTGACCTATCAGGGCTTCTTTCCCAGCCACATGCCTCTCCTGGGCTATGAGGTGTGGTTGGGCATGATGTTCCTCAACCCGCAACCTGGGGAGCCAGACTTGCAACGCATCCCAGTGGCCAGGATGGTGTGTGGACCCTCAGACTCCCAGCTTGTCCTGCTCAAGCTGGAGAGGTGTGTGGAGAGGTCCAGAGAAGGTGAGGTGGGGCTGGACCTTGTGACCTCAGTCCTTGAATACTGCTATTGCTACTACAGACCTGTGACCCTGAACCAGCGTGTGGCCCTGATCTGCCTGCCACCTGAGCGGTATGTGGTGCCTCCAGGGACTAAATGTGAGATCGCAGGCTGGGGTGAAACCAAAGGTAGGAGCATGGTGTGAGAGTATGGATGGTTCTGGGCAGGCCTAGCCCTGGGTCCTGCCCAAGAACCCTCTTGGCCCCATGTCCACCCCCGCCCAGGTACAGGTAATGACATGGTCCTGAATGTGGCCTCGCTTAGAGTCATCTCCAACCAGGAGTGTAATGTCAAACACCGAGGACGTGTACGGGAGAGTGAGCTGTGTACCGCAGGCCCGCTGATCCCTGTGGGGGCATGTGAAGTGAGTGGCAAAACCTCTCGGCCAGCTCAAGGAGGGTGTGGGAAGCTGGAAATGTAACATTTCGTCCCCAAGGGAGCCAGTCTTTGCCATGGTCCAGGGTCTTCTTACCAGTTCTCCCGCCTGCCAGGGTGACTACGGGGGCCCGCTTGCCTGCCTTACTCATGATTGCTGGGTCCTGGAGGGAATTATAATCCCCAACCGAGTGTGTGCAAGGCCCCGCTGGCCAGCCATCTTTGTGCGTGTCTCCTTGTTTGTGGACTGGATTCAAAAGGTCTTGCGGCTGGGCTAGGCCTGGCTTTGGCCCCATTTGCCTTGGGGGTTGACAATCACATGCCTGTCAGACATAAAGCTACCTTTCCTCTTTACGCCTGTGCAGGGTGCTTCTTAGCCTCTGCTTCTAGGGAAAGAGTTGGCAACTCTTCACTAGGGGCTGTGTGGACAGTCTAACATGGGGACCACCTTAGCCTGCGTGTGGTGTGAGAGGCCTCGTAAGTCTCTCAGGCACACTGTTGGGGAAAAGAGTGGTGCAGACAGTTTCTACTGGTAGGGTCTGCAGCAGAGGGAGCTAACCCTGGTACAGAGTCCCAATCAGCCAGGACAGCCAGAGGCTGAGCCTCACGGCGCCTCCCCTGTCACACTGGAGATGTGGCTCCTCTTGGCTACTGCACCCACAGCCTAGAGTCTCTGAACCCAGGTTGAGGGGTGGGTTGGGGATGATTTGGTATTATATACCAATCAGCAAGAACCAGGTTCTGTGTCCTCATTTATTATGACTACATAGCCCACATTCCTCTGCCCACCTATCCACAAAATCAAGTGGAAGATGTCTCTTGCCCTTCTGTCAGGCCCTGGGGCTGTCCAAGAGTGAAATATGGCACAGGCCGAATAGCACATGTCGCGGGCAGAACTTTAGCTGCCCAAGTGTGTACGCAGCCAGAGCACAGCGTTCATGAAGCTATCTGACTCCACTTCCATCTCTGATAGTGCATGGTTGCTCTTGGGATAGAGCAGGAGCCTGTAGGGGTGAGACAGCAATGCTTGAGGTTGGGGGATCCTCCTTTGTCCACCAGCTGCCAGGGCCTGCCCTGCTAGACTCACCGGACAGGCACATTTCGGGCCTTGAGGGCACGGTAATACTCTATGCCCTGCTTGAAGGGCACACGCCGGTCCTCCTGGCCCAGCATCAGGAGCAGTGGAGTCTTCACCTGGGTGTGTGGGGAGGAGGGGAGCATAGTAGTGAGCAGAGCCCTGGACTTTGGATGGACAAGTGGCAGACAGAACAGGGAGGAGGACCACACACCTGAGGAACATATTTGATAGGTGACTTGTCCAGCATCTCAGCCCACACGCTGAGGTCTGGCAGGCAGTCACTACTGTAGGGGAAACCAGCTTCTACCACACACCTGTAAGAGATGGAGCTTATGCTGCACCAGGGTGGGCATTTGGGGCTTGGGGCCCTGCAAGGGCTTTGGAGGAGCATGGAGTAGAGGGTATGCGCCTGTGGGGTGCATACTCACCAGTCAGGGATGTCGGTGGAGCCCATCATGGAGGCAATGTTGATCACAGGGTTCCGAGCCACACAGGCACTGTAGGTCTCTGGGTACTGACCAATCAGGTGGCAGGAGAGGAAGCCACCATGGGAGCCTCCCATAAGGGACACACGATGTGCATCAAAGTGCTCCTGCTGGAGTACCTGCTCCACTGCAAACTGCAGGATGGGGTGCAGCATGCTGCAGGGTAGCTGCCTGACCAGATGGACGGAGCTACACTCTGATAACCTAACTTCCAGCCTATCTCCTCCAGCCTCAGCCCCTACTTACCTGGACATCCTTCACATCCTGGTGGCCCACGTTGCCTGGGAGGGAGAGGATACTGTCCTGGCCAAAGCCTGTGGATCCACGATAGTTCACTAGAGGGCAGGGAGGGACCAGACAGGGTGGTCAGTGACATTCCTGGCCCCCTGGATACCCACCTATCTGTGAGGTACACCCTGGGACACAGTGTACCATAGATCGTCAAGGGGAAGTGGTCAAGAGATGTAAGGCTATTGCCTAGTGACCATGGCACCCTCTCCATGAAGTCCTGAGTTGGTCTACATTATTTTCACACTGTGGTGCCAGAGGCTGTGCCAGGACAGTTTATGGTAGTGGTTAACAGCTCTAAGCTACAGAAAGGCCTGGAGATGAGGTTGGCACCCATGGTGCTTATATGAAGCAAATGGCAAACCACCCACCCACCATCCCAACACAGCCTTACACTGTTCACTCACCTAGCAGCACTGCAAAGCCCATCTTGCAAAGCAGGGCTGGGAAGAGCATCCAGGCAGTGACAAAGGATGAATGGGGCCCCCCTGCAAAACAGGAGCAGAGGGTGAAAGGGCCAGCTAGGAGGGGCAGTGGGAGGGCAGGGGCTCTTGGGCCAGATGCCTACCGTGGGGCATGACCACCATGGGGACCTGGGTCTTATCAGGAGGGTCTCTGGGCTGCAGAAGGATTGCTTCAAAGTCAAGGCCAGCTGCAGGGAAAATGCAGTGGTCAACAGAGACAGTGCTACCACCCAGGGGCTTCCTCAGCCAAGGCCTTAGCTGTAGCTGCAGGTCTGGGGCTGACCTGAGACGTAGAGACCGGGCCAAGGTAGCCCACACTGTGACAGATAGACCCTGGGAGACTCACATTCCTCCTGCCCCAGACAGGGAGCCTCAGTCTTTGCAGGGACAGCATTCTGGATGAGATGTGGTCACAGAAGCCTGTGTAAGGCCTGTCTTCTTGGGACCTTGGTTTTTCCAGCACAGATGAACTGGCCTGGTGGTGCCCAGCTCTGATACTCAGAGCACTTCCTCAGATGCCTGGACATGAGTGCCCACAAGAGGGACAGAAAACCTCTTAAAGGTGATCCCAGGAAAGCCCATAATGTAAGATGTGAAACTGGAAAGGTCACAGAAGATGCTGTGTGCTGGGGAACCTGAAGGGGGCGTCCCTGTGCCCCTGGCCCAGCTCACCATACTGCACATTCTCTTGCTCTGGGGGTGGCTGCAGAACCCGGATGCCCCAGTGGATGTCGGGAATGGGCTCGGCCTCCTCCAGGGGCACCCAAAACACCGACTGCTCCTTCCCCGCAGGAGGCAGGAACCCAACTTTCTGTTAAGGGGAAGGAGTGTGTTACCTGTGACCTGCCTGCCTCCCTGCCCTTCTACCTCTGCCAAGGGTAAGCAGTGGGCAGCTCTTACCACCTTCGCAGGGCAGAGCACAGCCTCCTGCTATGAGCCAGTATACACAAAAGTACTCAAAACACACATACCTCGCTCCTCAGCTTCTACGCTCTATCTCCCCAGGCCCTACAATGACAGAGATCTGGACATTTCCCCAGGCAACCTTATTCTGTATAGAGCAGATCCTAGCTGAGGACTTCCTCCCTGAGTGCCAGACCCCTGTGGACCAGGCTGGGCTGGACCCTTGTCTTGGTCTCTCTACATGCTAACCAGCCATAGTCAGACTGGGGGCAGCTTGCCATCTGGGGGCTCTGCATGGAATCCCTGCCTCCTGGTCCTGGGTTCACCAATACTCACCAGGCTTGGAGGCTGGCTGGGTGTGGAGAACTGTGCCACCATGAGGTCTCGGTCAATTGTGAGAAGTTTCCAGCTTCCAGGTGGCTCCCCTGGAGAAGGCAGATGCCACTAAGCACTTGTCAAGGGTCACTACCTTTCCTATCCCCTACCCGCAGAGTCTCTGAGTCCCAGGCTAGAGAATTTATGGCAGGTACCCCTTCTACCTTGGGGAGCTAAAGGATACCTCTCACAAACACCAAACTACACACGGCCCCGGGTGAACCTCCTGCTCAGTTCCTCCTTCATCTGGCTGATGCTGGCTGTGCTCTACCACTGGGGCATGGGGACACACCGGACCTCAAGGATTGAAGTCTACAGGGGTGGCAGCTGGGCTCACAGGGCTGGAGGGGTGGTGCTGACTCTGAGCCATGGGATCCATGGAGATCCTTAAGCAGGGGCTATGAATTGATGAGCTGCAGGTGTGAAGCAATTCTTTGGAAGCTTTGCGGAGGGGTGGGCAGGCAGTCAGGACAGGTAAAGGACTCAAAAGATATTTCAGGGGCAGAATCACGAGGCCCGGGGATGAGGAAGATGGGGGAGCCAACAGAACAGAGAGCCAACAGGGCTCTCAGGAGCCCTGAGGTGGCAGAGCTGTCTCTGCCTGAGGTGGGGCACCCTAAAGGCTTGGGGAGGGGAAGGGACAACTCTGGCAGATCTTGACCAGAAGACTTTATAGGAATAGTTTTAGGAGAGGCGGTGAGCACTGAAGGGCAATGACGTAGGAGAGGTCTTTTGGTGGCTGGATAAGGGTCCCGCCAGGGCAGGGCTTCAGGAGACTGTCAGTAAACGCTGTGAACAGTCACTATCACAGAGTGGCTGGGAGTGCTCATACTACTGCCTCACGTGCTCGTACGCCTCACTCGCCCTGCTCACCAGCGGTCAGAGAAGTAACGCTGCCCATCTGGGTGTCCACAGCAAAAAGGTCCTGCAGCAGAAGAGGCCATGTGTGGCACCTCATTCAAGAACCTGAGCTTTGTGGGTTCTCTCACCTTCTCTCTGCCCTCTTAGGAACCCCTCCTGGGCCCAGGCCTAGGCTGTGGGCAGCTATGGCCGTGGTAACTCAGTGCAATTCAGATCTCAGCCCCATCCAACCTACTGAGTGACCTTGGGCAAGGTACAGAATGCTTTTTGAGCTGGTGTGAGGACCAAGTGTTCCCATACCCAAAAGGCACACTGTGAGTGCCCCTCTCTATCCTTGAGGGACAGACTCAGTCTCATCTCTATCAGTTGCCTTTACAGGGCAGTCAGTGGCCTATCCTGGTGACAGTCCCCATCTTTTCCAGCTGGAATTACCTGGGAGTGGTTATACTTCTGCCTCAGAAAAAAAGACCAAAGAGTCTATTGGAGGCACCAGGGCAGCCAGCCTTCTAAAAAAGGGAGTCCAGAACAGGGCCAGCCAGAGTCTTAAGGCGATGGTGGGACCTTGTGGCTGGGCACTCACCCAGGGGCGTGTCTGTGCTATGCCCCAGCGGCCTCGGGCTGCTAGAGGATGTCATGGGAATGCCTTGCAACAGAGTCAGGGCCTCTTACCTGCCGGCTGCGCTGAGCTGAGTCAAAGACCACTCTCTGGTTGTCAGCCGACCAGCATCCCAGAGGCAGCAGGCTGCAGTAGATTCCAGAGAAGTCCTCTGCAAAGATGGGAGGGCTGGGGGCCACATCCAGGAGTGGAGGCTTGGGAGTTCCTC